TTCCTTCACCCCCCCTTAAGATTGTATTACCAGCCTGTATTGCCTCCCCTCATTCTTTCTACCAAAATGCATTATCGCGCATTTCTCCACATTGAAATTCATCTGCCATGTGTCTGCCCATTTTACCATTCTGTCTATGTCTTCCTGCAGTTGGCTGCTATCCTTCTCACTGTTTACCACCCTACCTAACTTTGTGTCGTCCGCAACCTTGGAAATGGTACTTGCTATACCCAAGTCCAGATCATTTATATATATTAAGAAGAGCAGTGGTCCTAATACCGATCCCTGGGGGATACCACTGTACACTTCCCTCCAGTCAGAAAAGCAGCCGTTCACCACAACTCTCTGCTTTCTGTCTCCCAGTCAGTTCTGGGTCCATGCTGCCACTGTCCCTTTTATACCATGGGCTTCTATTTTTCTTACAAGTCTTTCATGTGGCACTTTGTCAAATGCCTTTTGAAAGTCCATATAAACTACATCTACTGCTCTACCTTTATCCGCCCTCTCCTTTACCTCATCGAAAATTTCTATTAGAATTGTTAGACAAGATTAGCCTTTAACCAATCTGACCTGGCTGTCCCTAATTAACCCACATTCTTCTAAGTGAAGATTTATTCTGTCCCGGATTATAGTCTCCAGGAGTTTCCCCACTAGTGATGTTAGGCTGACTGGCCTGTCGTTCCCAGGTTTGTCCTTCTGCCCCTTTTTGTACAGGGGAGTAACATTGGCCACTCTCCAGTCCTCTGGCTCCACCCCTGGGTCCAACGAAGATTGAAAAATTGTAGCCAAAGCCTCCGTTATCTGTACCCTTGCCTCCCATAGTACCCTTGGCTGCATCCCGTCTGGACCGGATGACTTATCTACCTTGAGCCCAGTCAACCTTTTCAGTACTTCCTCTTTGTTTATACTTATCCTATCCATTTCCTCTACCCTCTCCTCTGATACTGCGGCATTTGGTGCATCCACTTCTTTTGTGAAGACAGATGCAAAGTACTCATTCAGTACATCAGCCATGCCCTCTACCTCCACAATAAGATTTCCGCCTTGATCCTTAATTGACCCCACCCTACCTTTGAGTAACCTTTTTTTCTTGATATGTTTGTAAAAAAAATTAGGATTCCCTTTAATATTACCCGCTAACCTTTTTTCGTATAATCTTTTTGCCCCTCTTATTTCCTTTTTCAGCTCTCTTCTCTACTGTATTTCCTATACTCTATTTGGTTGTCTTCTGAATCTTAGGTTTGACATTTGTCATACACCTCCTTTTTCTGCTTCATTCTAGACACAGTTACCTTTGTCAACCAGGGAGGTTTGGATGCCCTACTTTTCCCTTTTGTCAGAATGTATTTGTTCTGTCCCCGAGCTATCTCATCCTTGAAGAGGATTGCTCACTGAGAGAAGGAGTAGAGCTGAAAGATAGAAATTGGCATCTGGGCATGAGTAAGAAAAAGTGTTCTGAACCGAACTGAGCCATACAATGGCACAAGCTGGCTTGGCTGAAGGAATCAAATCAGTGTCTCCGAAAGACACTTCATTGTAGAAACTGGAGGCACAAGCGAGAAAATTCCCACATCTGGTACAGTTGGGATATCGTGGTGCAACATTAGCCGCAGCTGTTCAGAAAATCTCAATTTCCAACCAGAGGCCAGAAATGTGCTGATGTGGGATATCAATGAGAAAGCTTAAAGGGTAAAACGGGAAGCATGCATATTTTATAAAATCAACCTCAATTGGATTCGAGATGAGCAGTGTTGTAAATTAACTAAGTCGTTTTTAAATTATTTATTCGCTTCTCATTCTGTGAGCTAAGTTGGCGATTGTCAATTTTCATGCCCTGCAGACTGACTATAAAGTAACTACAATACATGGAACCATGGCAAGTACATTAGAGTGACATTCAGCTCTGCAGATTCAACCATTAACTTATCCTGGGGGAATCCACGATAATGAACATGAGTTTACAGTTGCTCCCTTGCTAAGTTTTTGTTTTTGATCATCAGCTGCAAGATTACAGCCCCATTCGCCAGTGATGGGCCAAGTAGGATAAGGGAACCTCTGGACCTTACTTTAAGATCATTGAACAAGCTAATATATTAATAGAGAATCATAGCACCAGTAATATCTGATCAGTGCTGTATTTTTCCATGGTTAGGTAGGGGCAAATTGAGTCCCGTATTAGGACATAGCGCCCATCCTAATTAATCAGAATGGAGCCATTCTAGAACTGTAAACTGCATGTTTTTTACCATAATATTTCTCCTTGAATCCAGGAGGATACATTCAGAAATTGCTTCGCCTAGAATTTCCTAACTTATAGGTGGAGTACATTAATTTACTGGTTTAATTCAAGTAAAAATAGAACAGAATTAAGTTGGTATCCCACTAATTTATAACCAAATAGTACTCTCCGTAAGCTTGGTTCAACCATTGATTTAGGGCACAGGAGTTATCACACCGCAAACCAGTCGATGTCTAGTTATCAACAGAATTTTCAGCGATGCATTATTTAACAGTAACGTTAATTAATTCTGTGCAACGCAGGCTGCAATTTGCACCTTCACGTGTCAATCCAACATGAAGCAAAAAATAGTCTGAGATATAGATGGTAAATCTCTCTGATCAGGTGGATGATGGCTTGTTTCACTCAATCACATTTTACATTCTACAAACATAATACATTATTATAATAGCAGCATGTTTGAACAGTCATTTATAATGTATTTGGATGGTGGTTTACTACAATAGAAATTTTAAAACTGCAATTAAATAACATCAACAACAACAACAAAATTACATTTGTATAGTGCCTTTCACTTCTGGAGGACATCCCAAGGTGCTGGACAATCAGTGTTTTGGACCCGAGCTGGGGGTCAGGATCGGGGAAGGTGGAGGGCAGAGAAGCAAGGAAGGTGATTGAAGGCATGGTCGAAGAGAAGGGTCTTGAGATGCGTCTTGAAGGAGGCAAGGGAGGGGGCGAGGCAGAGAGACTGGCGGGATGGAGTTCCAGACGGTGGGGGCAGAGTGGCTGAAGGTCCGCCCGCCAATGGTGGGGTTGGCGAGGAGGGGGACGTGAAGCAGGCCAGAGCCTGCTGAGAGGAGGGAGGGGGGAGGCTGGTAGAGGGTTAGGAGAGGAGCAAGGTAGGGGGGAGCAAGGCCATGGAGGCTTTGAAGGTGAGGACCAGGATCTTGAACTGTATTCTCTGTGTGATGGGAAGCCAGTGGAATTGGGCAAAGATGGGGTGATAGGGTAATGGAGCCTGGTGCCGGAGAGGACATGGGCTGCAGAGTTCTGGATGATCTGCAACCTATTGAGGGGAAGAGTTGGATAGGCTGACAAGCAAGGAGTTTGCATAGTCATGCTTGGATGTTATGAATGCATGTATGAGGGTTTCAACGGCCTGCGGTGTGAGCCAGTGGCAAAACCGGGCGATGTTGCAGAGGTGGGGGAAGGCAGAGCGGGTCATGGCACAGACGTGGGGTAGAAAGGATAGTTGAGGGTCAAACAAGTTGCCAAGGTTCGGACTGTCTCAGTGAAAAGGATGGAGTGTGCATCCTTGAATGGTGATTCTATCAGTGCCTGAGGTGTGGAGGTGCTGACAGGCGCCAATCAGGAGGGCCTCGGTCTTGTTGAAGAAAGTTAGTTCTTATCCAGGACTTGGCATGACAAACATTCTGTCAGGACAGCAATGGTCCTGGAGTTGAGGGTGGAGGCACAGAGATAGAGTTGGATGTCATCCACCTACATGTGGAAGGACTAAAGTCACCATTTGGTTTTAGAGTAATATCTGACACCCTGAGCAGAAATATTTACAATTCAAAAGATCAGTGCAAAGTGATCAATGTCCATACTCATTGAGATTCCCAGAAATGAGATAAGAAAATTATATACAATCACGAATAGAAGTGCATATCAAGTATACAAATTATCACTTTATTAATATAACGAGAATATCTGTTAAACTCCGTCAGATGGAGTGTATTAGTTAAGAGCAATTAGAATCATCTGTTAGTAATTCACAATTCACTTTACCTACAGTTACAAAACTGTAAGCCTGGAAAAGGCTGTCAATCTCCCCTGTCCACACAAAACAGCCTAAAATGGATTTCACGCTCAGTATCGCATCTCATTATTATTTGTGGGAGTTTGCTCGTGCAAATTGGCTGCTGCATTTGCCTACATAACACATTCACTTCATTTTTNAATTCATCTCAATCTGTTAAACTCTCTGAGCTATTTATTTTTATGTGGAAGACCCAAAGGTTCAGGAAACATTTATACCAATGCTTAGAAAGCTTAATAATATTCCCCCTTTCCCACTTCTCCACTATTCAGCGGTGTCCTCTGTCCCTCCCACAAACAACCTCTCTCCCCTCCCCCTGTCTGGCACCACAGCAAGGCAGAAATCATGTTTCCCATGCAGTATTTGGGAAGTCTGCCCCAGTCGCTATATGTGTGTCAACCTGGCTCAGTTGGTAACACTTTTTCCTCTAAGCCAGAAGGTCGTGGGTTCAAATTGGGACTTTAAACTCTCAGGCTTGGCTATCGCTCCAATGCAGTGCTGGAGGTTTGCTGCATTGTTGAAGGTGCCATCTCTTGGGTGAAACATTAAACCGAGGCCCCATCTGCCTGTTAAGGTGGACTCTAAAGATCCCATGGCACTATTTGAAAAGAGAAGGGAGTTTCTCCTGGTATCCTGGCCAACAATTCCTCAAATAAAATTGATCATTCACTTCATAGCTGTTTGTTTGACATGTTTATGGGAATTTGTTGTACGCAAATTGGCTTCTGTGTTCAGCTACAAATACACAGGTCACTACACTTTACAGTAAAATTCTGTAAAGTGCTTTGAGATGTCTTGATGATATGATAAAACACTTTACCAAATGCAAAGTGTTTATTATTATTATAAAACAAACCTGAAGACATTGGGCTAGTAAATTTATTTTTTGACTTTACCGAGATTTCAGATACTGATTATGCATCATTCTATTTCCTGCAGGTACCTCGAAGCACATATGAACCTCCCAAAGAGATGCAGCTGTTACAGGAAATTAGAAAGAAAAATCGGCAGAAGGCAGAGGTTAGAATTCTTACAGACTTTTTCTGAACCATAAGTGGAGACAGAAAACCTTTTTGATGATATGAAGAGGAAGTAATTTCAGTTAAAACGATAAGAGCTGATTATAGATTTTAAAGGATGCACCCAGCAATATAAATTATATATTTATGGTTCAAATGATTTGTGTCTTTCTTTCTGGAAACAAACTCGCTCAACATTCATAGAGTCACAGAATTGTACAGCACAGAAGGAGGCCATTCGGCCCATCGTGTGTGTGCCAGCTCTTTGAAAAGAGCTATCCAAATCAATCCCACTCCCCCCTACCCATAGCACTGCAAACTTGTCCTCCCCATATAATTATCTACTTCTCTCTTAAAAGCTGTTATCGAATCGGCTTCCGCCACCCTTTCAATGCATTCCAGATCTGAAGAACTCGCTGGGTGAAAACATTTCTCTTCACTCTTTCTTTTAATAACTATTTTAAATCGGTGTCCCTGGGTTACCGACACACTCGCCAGTGGAAATAGTTTCTCCTTGTTCACCCTATCGAATCCCCTCATAATTTTGAAAACTTCTGTTAAGTCTTCTCTTAACCTTCTCTGCTCCAAAGAGAATAACCCTAGCTTCTTTAGCCTCTCCTCACAACTGAAGTCCCTCATTCCTGGTAAATCTCCTTTGCACCCTCTCCAATGCCTTAACATCCTTCCTAAAGTGTGGGGCTCAGAACTGAACACAGTATTCTAGCTGAGGCCTAAGCAGTGTTTTATAAAGGTTCATCATAACTTCCTGACTTTTGTATTGTATGCACCTATTTCTAAAGCCTAGAAATTTGAAATTTAAAGCCTTTTGATTTGCATGTATTTGGCTTGTTGGAAGCATATTATTATTATTATTATTATTATGATCATCATCATCATCATCATCTCTGCCCCCACACACTGGAACTCTATCCCGCAATCCCTCCTCATCACCCCCTCTTTTACTTCCTTCAAGTTCTGTCTAAAGACCTTCCTCGTTGATCATGTCTTTGGCTACCCTCTCAGCCCACACCCGCCACCCTCCAACTCTCCTAATCCTAACTCAGGTCCAAAAAACCCTGACTGTCAAGCACCCTGGGAACCCTAACTCAGGTCCAAAAAACCCTGACTGTCAAGCACCCTGGGAACCCTAACTCAGGTCCAAAAAACCCTGACTGTCAAGCACCCTGGGACGTCTTTCCGATATAAATAGCCCTATACAACAATTTGCACTTATATAGCGCCCTCCTCGCAGGGTAGTGTCTCAGAGCGATTACAAGTGTAACTTCTTGTGTATTTTTTATCTGTTCAATAAGTTTGTAAGCTCTGGTCTTTAAACTTAAATAAATTCTGTGCTACTTGCTGAATCCACGTCCCCAGCTTTTCGAAGATCTAAACCAAATTGGTGATCTTGGCAATGATGGTAAGAAATTGAATCAACAAAATATATAGATTTTTTTTAATTCTATTTAATTTTTGAACACAAATTGTCTTTCTATGTCAACATGACAGCTTGTGGAAATATAAATACTTTCGTAAACTGCAGAATTAAAAACCTACCTTCAAAAATTCCTAAATGTTACTGATGTTGGATAGCATATTGTCAATTTACAAAATCCCACTGTGTCTAAATCTGATGGATATGGCCATGATTAGAAGTTTGAATTGGTACTTTCATATGCTCCAAAAAGCAGTTTCCAACCAAATTAATGTGTGGAAAATGTGACGTCTAATGTGATTCTTATCACATCAACCGACAAGAGCAAGCAATGTCTAATATCAATGTTATTATCTGTTGTAGAGCGGCCTTCAGTATTGCTGATCACAGAGCACAATGGTTCAATGCTGCTTCTCAAAATACTATCTTAAAATTAAATAGTTAAAACTGATGGAAAAGTGGACAAAGATTTTCCTTAATGTCCAATTTCCCTGTTGGTAGGGCTTGGATGGAGAATTTGCAAGTATAATATTCAGCAAATGACATCTGGAGGTTCTTCTCTTTATCCAGTAGCTCAATAAAACCATGTTCCACATGAGATTCCTTTGAACATGAGAAGCTTATTTAAATATATTCAGTCCTCCCAATGATACAGGATTTTCAAAGAAATGCAATCAGTTCCACATGAGAGTGCAACACTAAATATACTGGACTAAAAACATTGATAGACAAGGACAGAGATAATCAATCACAATAAACCCTCTATTGTAACACTTAATATATGATACTGATTGGCTCTTCATAGTAAAAAGCAAATGAGGCTTTGTAGTAAAGTAAGTTATTGTATTTACACAGCTCAGAGAAAAAACACTCCTCCCTTTTGGCAGTGTGAAGCTGGAAGTAGACGTATACTGCACAGCCTGCTCTGCATACCTTTCAACTGGGGCCAGAAAAGAGAAACACCCGATTGTGGCATTTTATGCACATTCTACAATGTGAAAGGGCAAAACAAAATATTATAAATAAAGTTGTAGCATTTGTGCGCTGTAGTATATTAACTAACATATTGTTGAAAATTCTATCTTGTCGATAATTAAAGGCCTCTGCCCTCCAACTGCATCACACTGGTTGGGCCTAAAGCTGGCCACGGGTACCATTGGACTTTTGAGCCCGTATTAGTGGCTGGTTATTGGGAACACCAGCTGAACTCAAAATATTGTAGGGAAGCTGTTTTCCCACTAAGGAGCAATGCATTGCCCCAACTTGCGGGCCACCAAGTCCAATAAAGTAAAGCATCCATTCTGATAGGGCCGTCAGCCACTCTGCCCCCACCCTCTGGAACTCCATCACACAGTCCCTCAGCCTCAACCCTCCCTTGCCTCCTTCAAGACCCATCTCAAGACCCTCCTCTTCAACCGTGCTTTTGGTCACCTTCCTTCTCTGCCTGCCCTCCACCCTCCCTGATCCCGACCCCAGCTTGTGCCCGAAACACTACTGTCCAGCGCCTTGGGACGTCCTCCCGACGTGAAAGGCGCTCTACAAATGTAATTTTGTTGTTGTTGATAAGGTCAGGGGTGAGGTCATACTAAGATATGAGCAGGGCAGCAATTTCACCCCATGATGTTTGATAACGTGCACAAACTGTTCAGCACCATGAGGAAGCTGATTGTAGAATCTACAATAACTCTCTTCTAATAAGCTCTTACCTGCTTGCATTTGTTTTTGTGGTATTACCTTTAAGCAGTTGAGGTCTGATTGAAACAATTGGAATGGTATCTGAAGGGGATAGAAATGGACAAAGGCTGTCACTAGGTTGGCATATGGTAACAGATTCTAAATGTACCTTCTTTTCCCTTAGCTACAACTCATAGAGGCAAATGTTAATCAGTTCAAGTGTGCTGAATACCGTAATTCCGACCGCAAACAGGTACAAGATGATTTAGTATGTGAATTAAGCCTTAAAAATAAGTGAATTAAAACCCTGTGTATCAGCCTGGCTCAATTAGTAACACTCTTGCCTCTGTTTCAGAATTTTATGGGTTCAAGCCCCACATTGGGACTTGGAACTCATATTCTCTTTGCTGACACTCTGATGGATGAGTTGCATTGTTGGAGGTGCCATCCTTTTGATGAGTTGTGAAACCAAGGTCCCGTCTGCCTGTTCAGGTGGATGTTAAAGATCCCATGGCATTATTTGAAAGGGAGAAGGGAATTTCTCCTGGTGTCCTGGCCAACAATCCCCAAAATAAAAAAAAGTCATTTAATTTGTGACTCTTTATGGGTCATTTATGTGCGCAGTGGCATTGGCTGCTGAGTTTCACCCACAAAATACACAGTCACTACGCTTTATAGCATATCCTGTGAATCGCTTTGAGACGTGAAATGTGCTGTATCACATTATACGTAGTGTTCTTAATCTGTCTTTTTCCAACTTTAACATTAGATTTAGTACATATTATTTACCTCCTCTTTTCATTATCATGGCTATCTCCTTCTATTTGGAGGTGAGAGCAATGGGTTTTCAATGATTGAAGCTGAGATGAAGACTTGGGGCTTCTCCATTTCACAGCTCAGTGGTCATTGATTTCAACAACAACTTGCATTTATACAGTGTCCTTCATGCAGTGTAGCATCTGAGAGTACTCATTATTTTCATGACATGTACAGTTGGGACAGGTAATATAACAAGATTTTAAACTTTTATTTTGAACAATGATTAACCTAGTAAATCTAATAATACACATCTTACCCATGAATAGCCTCTTTGTAAATGCATTTATTTGATGTTCAAATGCTAAATTGCATGTTCAAGCAAAAGTTTCACAATAAAATGAAGGACAAGGGGAGTGCTCCGTTAAAATTTCTTTCTAACTTGTACACAAATGAATTACAGTCACACACTTGCACATTCAAATATAAATCTTTCCATCAGTATTTCTCAAGTGTTTTAGTTTCCATAGTTACTTTTATTTATTTATTGTACCCTGTACAGCTGTTTTATCTTGTCCCGAACAGTAGAATCAGAGGACATGGCCATGGCGATTGAAAGGTTAAATAAAAAAGAAATCTGTGGTAACCCTATTTCAATGAAAGAGTAGTAAATGTAAGGAGCAGGCTCCGAGGAAGATGGTGGAAGTAGAATGTGTTGATTGTTTCATAAGCGAATTAAATTGATTTATTTTAGGAAATAATATATTGGGATACAGTATATAGTTTGGGACATGACATATACATGTGTCTGCCAAGTTGGTAGAAGTTGAACTGGATGGACCTTGGTCTTTTTTTGTCTAGCAATTCTTATGTTCTTATGTTTTTATGACAGAATGCTTTGGCAGAAGTTATAAAGGATGAAGAGGCTATGGTGAGAGCCAGAGAGTTTAAAGCACGTACATTGCCATCAGCGAAGGTAAGTCTTCACCAACATTTGAATTTTGCTAATGTTTCTATTAGAAAAGGAATTTTGATGGTATCGCTCGAAAAGGAGTTTACAGATTTCTGCACAATCTTAAATGTTAAGACAATGGTCTCATTTCTCAAACTGTTGGTATTAATTTTGCCTGAGAAAGAAAAAGAGGTCATTGGACATTGTCAGCATTCCACAGGATTAGAACAACAACTCATGCTGGGGCTGTAAGCAGCTGCTGAGGTTCTGAGGTACAAGGTGATAAAGTTAGAGTCCAATCCTATTAATAACAACGCCAATACAGAGCTTGATTCAATTATTGTAAAAAATCACATGTCTCAGAACGCAATGGGATGCTTTGCATCATCATGTTGTGGCCTCCCCCACATTCCATCCCAAATTTGTTCTTTTTCTGGTTGTTTTCGCCTCTTATCCTGGTCCAGCTTGTTGGACAGCAACTAAATGACTTTCTTCTGTAAATTTTCTATGATTCTAAGAAGTGATTGGTGAGCGGGAGGTGTGATTTAGTGGGAAGTGTTGGTCTGTGCTAGTTCTTCCTCACCTGGGATCAAAGTTATCACCTTCATGTGTGGCTCCTTTTGAAAATAATTTTACTTCTGGATCAAATCTCCCTTCAGCGATTAAAATGTTAATCTGGCTTTATTGTACTTGATTTGATAACGCTCATATCAACTCGCCTTTGAGCTCATTACAGTTGCTTTGAGTGTGACTGTTTAGAGATCAAAGTTGGTGTTTCTGCATTGCAGTAGTTAAGAGAATTCAAATGATCAGTTAATGCATGGTGCAAGAGATTGATTTTATTCCAAATTATTATATTGCATCTTTAGAATTTCAAATCCTGAATGGTTTTGATTCCTGATTAATTCCACTCTTGTCCTAGTTAACAGAAGCTAAATATTCTTGAACAGTGCAATTTCTTACTTCAGAGGAGAACCAAGTGCTTCAAACACTCATGTTAAGTGCTCCAGTGGGACTAAAGATTTCTACCTTACGAGCATAGAATCATGTTGCTTACTGCTGACTGAAGTTATTTGGAACTGCAGGGGTTCTGTTTGTTTTTAATTCATTAGCAGAGATGGAGTGGAAAAGAACTAGCGTGTAATTATTGATCGTTCACTGAAGGTTTCCAGTCAATGTGAAGCTGCTGTTAACAAAACTAATTGCATCCTAGGTTATATCTTGAAACTATTTGAGCATGTGTTAAAAGAAGTTCATAATATCACAAGAGAACTTAGAATCATAGAATCCTACAGCACAGGAGGCCATTCGGTCCATCGTGCCTGTGCCTGCTCTTTGAAAGAGCTATCCAATTAGTCCCACTTCTCCGCAATTTTTTTTCTTTTTAAGTATATATCCAATTCCCCTTTGAAAGTCATTAGTGAATCTGCTTCCACCACCCTTTCAGGCAGATCATAACTGGCTGAGTAAAAAAAATTCTCCTCATCTCTCCTCTGGTTCTTTTGCCAATTATCTTAAATCTGTGTCCTCTGGTTATCGACCCACCCGCCAGTAGAAACAGTTTCCCCTTATTTACTCTAAGTTTGGATGAAGAACTCCCTTTAGCCCATTTGGTTTTATTCTTCTAGTATGCACATTCTATTAAGCTTCCATTGCAGCATCAAGCTGCTTCTTAAATGTATCCTGGTCTCAATTATCCTTCCCAACAACCTGTTGATTTTTTGTTTGATTAATTTTGGGGTTCAGAGGTCTCTACGTAGTGGTAGAATGATAAAAATAATAATAATGATCCTTGCATTTGATCTAGCGCCTTATCCTGTCTTTGAGACGTCTCAAAGCACTTCACAGGATATACTGTAAAGTGAATTGATTGTATATTTTGTGTTCATTATAGTGTAGATTTTGGATTGGAGGAAGTGGATTTGATGAGCCAAATGGTCTTTTCTGAATATTTCTGCTAGCTTAACAGTTCTTGCGACATGATAGTCACCCAGTGTAGATAGAGGTTAATTTCATAAAGGAAAAATGAACAACACTTAGGATCATTGGGAAGATTCCTTGCAGAGAGCCAACAGCCTTCCTTTTAGGCCTGCAATCTCTCCTGAACCTCTTCAATTCATCTTCCACCAGTGGAGAGGTTACATTGTCCATGTTCAATGAGTGTTCCTGTTGCTGGGCTGCCGGTGGCTGTGTCTCTGTGCTGGTCTAGGAACAGTGCTGAGTGTTTGAAAGCAGGTGGTTCAATCATGAGGTTCAGAAGGTCCTGGTTCCTTTGAATAAACCCAGTCAGAATATTTGTCTCTATTCAGATTTGTGCTTTTGTTGCAAATGCAGTTAGCGGTGAGAACTATTAGCACAATTCTGAAAACAGTTTGGATCAGTGAGGTTCTGACAGATGACATTGAATGGGATGGAAGGCATTTATTGAAGTCACCACTTCAACTTCTCCAAATCAACAGATCCACCACTACTTACTGCTTTCATGATGTACAAACCCGATTAAGTTGACATGGAATTTTCCCCAAAGCAAACTAACCACCCTGACTGTGATCTCATGGTCTGCCAAGTTATAGGCAATTATTTCTGTTTACTCTTTTTCACATTGTTTGCTCTGAGAGCTGGTGCAGATTTGATAGGCTGACTGTCCTCTTTCTGCGCTGTAAATTTCTCCATTTCACCACGTTCTTCCTCCTTTACGTCTGGATCAATTAATTTTCTCCTGAGCCTCACCTGATCAGAACTTGGGTTGGTTACTTTAATTCAGTGAGAACTGTGTCATCCAATACGGGCCCCTACAGTCAACAGAAGTAATGTGAGCACAGTAATCATTGAATAAATGTTCACATCAAGACATTCATTGAATCATTTTCTTGCAAAGCCCTTATCCCTCAACAAAATTTCAGTGTATAATCTTTACAAGAATCAACCTCATGCATTCGTGATAAACTAAAATGCAGAACAACCACTATATACTAGAATCAAGAATAGCAATATCCCAGAAATTACACAAAGATCAGTCCATTTCTTCTGTATATCTTCATCATGGAGTCCTGTAGCTTAGTGGTTAGAGCATTCGTCTCGCAAGCGAGAGAACCTGGGTTTAATTCCCAGGCAGGGTGAAATGTTGAGCAAGTCTCCTTACTCCACACGCCTTTATTTACTTAGCAGTAAGTAGGAACCCGGTTGTTAGTCGATTGGCATATCGCTTTTACGGGGATAATGATCCCTTCAAAAAAAATACTAATAATTTGGTCACTCATTCCACGACTGTTTGTGAGACACTGCTGTGCGCAATTGGCTGCCACATTTCGCCCACAAAATATACAGTCAATTCACTTTACAGTATATTCTGTAAAGAGCTTTGAGACGACTCGAAGACATGATAAGGGACTAAATCAAATGCAAGGATTATTATTAAAAATTGTGCAACAATCCTTATTGAAACAACAGAATTTGCAAAATGTGTAGGGCTATGGGGTAGGAGCAAGGAGTTGGATAGCTTTTTCAAAGAACTGGCACAGACACAATGGGCCAAATGGCCTTCTTCTGTGCTATAAGATTCTATGATTCTAGGTTTAAAAGAATCCATTTTGTTTCTGTTTTCCAATTTTAACTTAAAATACTGTAAAATCTTTTTGGAATCTCACTCCAGGGATTTGCCTCCAAATGTGCTTTAACGTCCAGGTCACTGCTCTCCCTCCAAATCCCAATATCAAAATAATATTTGTAATATTATCTGATCTAATTATTTCATACTACTAGTAGCAGTATAAAAATTCTAAGTTCTGCTATTTAACTCTCTTCATTAAGAAATGTTCCACTGTTCATGATTTTTAGACATTATAGATTAATGAAGAATATTGCCATTTTTTGTTCCAATTTTCTCCTCTCTTGATATGGCAATTCCACAAAAAGCAGCAGAACTCTGGTGCTTTGGCCAAGTGTCTATTTTATTTTATGCTTGTTAACTATTAAAAGATCTTTCAGCACTTCCCTCATAGCTCAGTGGTTAGAGCACTCGCTTTGCAAGCGAGAGACCTGAGTTCAATTCCAGACAGGTCGAAACCTTGGGCAAGTGTCCTTAATAATAATAATAATAATAATCCTTGCATTTGATATAGCGCTTTTCACGTCGGGAGGACGTCCCAAAGCGCTTCACAGAGTACACTGTAAAGTGAATTGACTGTATATTTGTGGGCAAACGCGGCAGTCAATTGCGCACAGCAATGTCCCACAAACAGTCGTAGATTGAAAATGACCAATTTATTATTGTTTTGGGTTTTGGAGGGATTATTATTAGGCATGTGGAGTAAGGAAACTTGCCCAAGGTTTCGTCCTGCCTGGAGTTGAACTCAGGTCTCTCACTTGCAAAGCGAGTGCTCTAACCACTGAGCCACAGGACTCCACACGCCTAATAATAATCCTTACGCCACATGCCTAATAATAATCCCTCCAAAACCAAAAACAATAATAAATTAGTCATTTTCAATCTACGACTGTTTGTGGGACATTGCTGTGCGCAATTGGCAGCCGCGTTCGCCCACAAATATACAGTCAATTCACTTTACAGTTTGTTCCATGAAGCGCTTTGGGACGTCCTCCCGACGTGAAAAGCGCTATATCAAATGCAAGGATTATTATTATTATTATTATTATAAGCAGGCACTCCTGTGATCTAGAAATGCCATTTTCTGTCATTCACCTTTTAGTTGCATTGCCTTACTTGAATAAATTAGTCAATGAGAACAGCGATGATATACCATTTTACTATCCTGCATGTTGGGGCAACAGCAATCCCTGGATATTTTAATAAATACCTATCTCCTGGAAACCACAGCACATTGTTCCTCACTTTAAGCTGCAGTAATTGATGTGACGGTCATTACTTTTCAGTGTGAATGTCATTGTGTATCAGGGATACACAGCACACTGTGAACTGCTGCCAACATACAAATTAGACTAAGCCGAGAATGAAACCTTACATTAAACAAAATGGATGCTTATAAATAGTGTGATGGAGTGATTTCTGGGCTGTACTGTAATCTCTGCTCTTTCAGTATTTAATATCACCTGATCCCCTCTTTAGTGTGTTTCGTTGTAATCACTTCCAAGTATCCATTATTTTATTTTTTACTTTGATGCTAGGATTTACAGCTAATCCAGTCTATGGTTTCAGCAAATGACGATTATTTTGTCTCCTCTCTTAAATGCTGTGACTTTTGCTACACATAATTCCATTGACACCAGCTAAGCTCTGATACCTCGCCTAGCAGTCATTCTTCATATGACATTGAGGGTCTATAGACTATTCAACTGTGGGAAGGTATCACAACAGAGCCCAAAACTATTTTCATTTGACATCCACACACATATTCACTTGAAGCAGAGGTAACCGGATAATGATCAGGCACAAAAAACATGACTCACTTTTCCTCTGCGTAGCCCAAAGGCAATGAGGACAATTATAGCAGCCCAACTACTAATGTGGCTGGAAGTAGAATCTAACTGGTGACTTCTTGTGCTTCACTGCTGTATGGTGCTGAAATGACAGCTATTTGAATGAAGATGTTTTTATTACCAATGACAACCTTGCAGTTGCTGAAATATGCATGTACTGTGTTATTAAGCTTTGTAGATTGCATTGTGTAAAACACCAAAGGAGTTGAATTGATTATTTTTGTTCCACCAAACAGATGGATAATATTCCAATAAGACTCAACACCACTGCTATCCTGAGAGAGAGCGCCCTCTACCAGCGCAGAGTGAAAGAAGAACTCGATAGGTACTCTATCTTGAAGTCCGTGTTTGAAGTTTTATCAACAAACAGACCTGGTTAAATGCTAACTGTATCTTGGCTCATTTGATGGCATGTGGAGAACATGGCTTTTTGACAATAGCGTTTTGGCTATTGTGATTATACAATACATTTTGGTGTCAAGCTCTGCCACTGTTAAGAGCTCTGAGATGCTGCCCAATGAAGGGTGCTATATAAATGCAAGTTGTTGCTGTGTCCTGCCAAGGGGCCTAGCAGCTATAAGATAAGAAAGTATTAGAAATTGGAAGTGAAAATAACAAAGCAAATACAAAGACGCTTTACAAAGAGAGGCAACATTGAAATAAAACTGAAAAGTTACCAAAAGAGGGAAAAAAGATTACGAGGGTGAAAATGAGGGGAGATTCAAACTTGTTCAAAAACGAGATGAAGACTGAAAATAAAGTGAGGTATTAAAAAAAGCTACAGAGGATTCTGAGGGTTAAGATCTGATAAGGCAAAAATCAGAAAATGTAAGAGTGACAGATCTGAGGAGTGGGGAGAAAAAAGTTCAACAGAAGGGGAGGTGAAAATCCATTAATATTGTCTCTAATATGGCCCACAAAATATACACTCAATCCACTTTACAATATATTCTGCGAAGCGCTTTGATACGTCTCAATGATGTGATAAGGTGCTATTATCAAAGGCAAGGATTACTATTTACAACTTTCAACCAGGTGAGAGAAAATGTTATTTACCTTGATGGGCTCACTCTACAAACCATTGTTTTTATTGGTTTCTACAACAAATAAAATAAGGGTAAACCTGCATACCAGCATGTCATTCGTCTGAAAAGTAAATCACTTAACGTTCAGGTTACAGAGCAAATCAGTCTCTTGCATTTCTAGAAATGTAAAGATAAGGAAACTTTTTAGTAAGGTAAGAAATCATAATCATGCTTGGCTCCCGCCAGAACATTCCCAACTCAGACCTGTGCACTCACTCCACCTCATGGAACCCATGTGGAACCTCAGTATCTTGTTTGACCCCAACTGTCTTTCAGCCCCAAACTCATTTGGCTTTCTTTCACTTCCACACCATTGTTCAGCTTTACCACTACCTCTCCCTCCAGGCAGCTGAGACTCAAGCCTTCATTGCATCATTATTCCAAATCCCCTGCTCTCCAGACATCTCAGCTCCTCTCTACGCAAACTGCAGATCATCCAGAACTCCATCCATGTCCACTCTTGCACCAGGCTCTGCAAGCCCATCACCCCAATCCTTACTCCTTGGTTCCCTATCACCCAGTGGATTGAATTCAAGATCCTCATCCTCACAGTCAGTTCCCTTCAAGGCCTTGACCCCATCCGATTTATACAACCTTCTCCAAACATACTGACCCAGCCATCTGACCTCTGCTCAGCGAACACCAGCCTGCTTCACTTCCCCACCCAATCCACCACTTTGGAACTCCATCCAAGACTCCCTCTAACTCACCTCCTTCCTCCCTGTTAATCATGCTTTTAATCTTCCTACCCTCCACACTCCTCAGCTCGACCTCTCGCCAGCTCGGGTGCCGAGTCAGGTGTATGAAGCGCTTTGAGACATCCTGCTGACGTGAAAGGCACTATATAAAATTATATTGTGTAATGTCAATAGGCCAGATAATCTCAGATTGGAAAGGCTTAAATTGTTGTCTGGTAATGATGCAAAAAAAATTGTGACCTCAATGTTCCATTAGATGCAGAATTTGTGCCTTATTCAAGAGAACATGCAATTTTCTGTGACAATTAACTATTTTGTCCTGAAGCATTCAGATAAAACTAAAATGCTCAAACGATCTGAGGCAGGAATTTTCTCATTGTCTTAGCTTAAAACCACTTAATTTGGAAGCCAATTTTCTTTTTAAGAATAGTGGAAAACTTTCAGGTACTGGTCAACAACAACAAATTACATTGTATAGCGTTTTTCATGTCGAGAGGACATCGCAAGGCGCTCGACCCAGTTACTGTGCAAAGCTTAATTTCATGTGGCTTTTCCCAGAATTAATGATCTGATAGAAGGGGCTCGTGATCCCTCGGAGTTCCTGGAATGGCAAAGGCAGAAGAAAGAGCAGGAGAGCGAAGAAAAAATGGTGCAGCTGGAACGACGCCGTCTTGAAGGGAAGCTTAACTTCGAGGAAGCAATCCTGTCGCGGCACTCCATGATGCAGGAGAAGCAGAAGAAAGCTGCCCTGCAGAAAGAGGAGGTACAGTACTGCCACCTCTGAGTGCATCACATTGGCTTCTAAACTGAAGTAATTCCCAATTTGTTATTAATTACTCCAAGTCGCAAATAGCAATGCCTTCCAGTAACTGGAGGTGTGTCATATTGAACTGTGGGAACTCCATTTTGAAAGTAGATTGCATGAGAGCAGAGTTCCCATGGTTAATTCCAGTTACCAGAAGTTTTTAAGTACTTGCCCATTCAGAGACATAAATAACCACTCCTGATATGAATCAACATAGTTTAGACCCCTATATATGCATCAATATATCTAGCTGTATGATAAATGCAGGGATTGTGTTAAAAGGATTATGTCATCTACAATTTTATCATTGTCTTCTGCCAGATTAATCTAAGCAATCCCTTATTGCAGCCATACCTGCACCATTAATGTGCATTACCATTGCTGATAATGTCCCTATCTGATTGTATGATCCAAAGATAAGGGTATATTTCGGAGATTGTTTTTGCCTGATCCTGGCTGTTAAACTGTTGCATGATTGTGGCGGGCACTACAGCCCGCTACAAAAAAGTAGGACTATCAGTGACTGCAGTTACCTAGTTCGGGTTTTGCGTGACCAGCGCTAGTCAATGCTTCTTAACATGAATCCTAAGATCTGAAAAGTATGAGATGTTCCATTATCAATTGCACAATATTATTTTTTCAAACGCTGCTTTCTGTTTGCAATTATTATTGTTTTGTATTATGTATGAAATAATAATAATATAATAATAATAATCCTTGCATTTGATATAGCGCTTTTCACGTCGGGAGGACGTCCCAAAGCGTTCACAGGACACATTGTAAAGTGAATTGACTGTATGTTTGTGGGCGAACGCGGGAGCCAATTGTGCACAGCAATGTCCCACAAACAGTCATGGATTGAAAATGACCAATTTATTATTGTTTTGGGTTTTGGAGGGATTATTATTAGGTGTGTGGAGTAAGGAAACTTGCCCCAAGGTTTCGCGCTGCCTGGAATTGAACTCAGGTCTCTCTCGCTTGCGAGTGCTCTAACCACTGAGCTACAGGACTCCACATGAAAGCCTTGCATCTAAATTAGTAAGCCTCTTGAATGGGTGAATTCAGTGCTAACTTTAAGGAGATAGTGTAACCATTGGCGTCTGTCTTTTCGCCAAAGGATTTGCTGATTGATTCTCTTTAGCTGGTTCCTGGCTTGATAAGACACATAGAGTGAGATTCTTGCTTCCAGTAAATGAGTGATGTGTTGTTATCACCCTGAACAGCAACATGACTGCACCTTCTGTTAGTAGTACAAATACACAGCTTGCCATGCTCTCAATGTGCCCCATTCACAAGCAAAGCAAAGGCTTCAAAACAGTGTAAGTCCACAAGGTAATAACAACAGCAGAGAACAGATACATGTGATGTTGAATGTATCCTCACTACAGCAGATGGTTGAATTCCCTTGAACATCTCAACCATCACAGTCCGTGGACATGAGACCTCTAAATACTGCTTTTATGATACAGGTTTGTGTGCAGAGGCTAGCCCATTGCTGCAGGTGAACCTTTAATGTAATGTCCAAAGTTATTCATTGTTCACAAAGTACACATCCAGACTGCCCTACAATATATCCTGTGAAACGCTTTGAGACATTCTGCTCACATGAAAGATGCTCTATCGAATGTTAAGGATAGTTAATATTATGATCAACACTGCTGAAATTGGTATAGCAGAACCAAAAAAGATACCAGGTCATTCAGACCTCCATATCTCAGCCTCCACTGCCGATATACCAGTAACAATGATCATGAACAAAGTCTAAAGTATTTGTACACAAGTAACGCCTCTGGCATAATTTCCACAATTACATCAGGCATTGCCATGCAGGTGCCTCAAGCTCTCATTCCCCTCTTCCCTTCAGAAGTGCAAAAACAAAGTCTGTAAGTGTAAAAGGGGTTTTTGCAGGAAAAACATGGCCAGACTGTCAGTGCCTCCAAGGTGGAGGCACACTATGCCACACTATAGAAATTACAGAGAATTAAAATTTCTGTGCTGCATTAAACTTTTGATCATTTCTAATTAAGCAATGGCACTGAGTGTTGGAATATGAACATTCAGTGCCATAAACTGGGAGGATGTTGGAGGTTCCATCACCCCACTCGGTTTCAGATCTGAACCACAGCGTGAATGCATGTGCCGTGTGTGGAGGCTGCTGGCACCTAACTCCAAGGGGCAGAGAAAATCAAATGTGAGAGTCCAGTTTGCCCGCTGTTGTGGGTGACCAACCAATCTGGCATGGGCAGGCCAACTTCCAGGGTGATCCCAGCTGGACAAGTCGTGGAAAGTTTGATATACAGTGCCAAACTAAGACGTTTTAGCTGATTAAACTCCAGCAGTACCCCAACGGACACTAAAACACTCTGGGGTCCTGGCTCTTGCTAACCTGCACTTAATACTCTCCAAAATTAGTTAAGCGGTGTGCATTCCCTTCAGGAGAAGCTGCACATTCACTTCACAAGGTCACAGACACAAGGAACTTTTCATGCTCTCTGGTTTGGATTCTCTTAAGCATGGTGATGGGTTCCACACATATCAAATACACAGTTGACAGACCAGAAAAAATGGTGAAGAAGTGGGAGAAATGTGAGATGGTGGTTGCTTCGCTAAATTTACAAAACATATTAAGCAAAATGATACAGACATCCCTCCCCCACAGTGTGCAACAAAGTATTCTTGCACAACACAGTGGCCTTAGTTATGCTGTCCTTTCTACGCCTCAATAATTTTTTTTCAGATACCTGTCCAGGAGTAGACAAGAGACACTCTATACTTTTTAATGTCGATTGTACTTGTTTTCTCTCTCTGTTAATGTGTTAGATGGCAGAACTCCTGCAGAAAAAAGCAGAGAAACAGGTTCAAAAGGAGAGGGAGCTAAAAATGCTGGTGGATCGAGTGATGAAAGGAGACAAGACAAAGCAAGCCCAACTCAAGCTTAAGGAATACAAGAAGAAGCTTGGTAAGTAAAATACACTTCAATGGGTGGAATTAAGTCAAATAGCAAAAGTTTCCTTCTTTCATATCCTGCTCCTTTCTGCGTTCTTATTTTCTGGCATGGGTCCATGCTTCAGAACCAACAAGCAAGAGGGAGAGATATATCATTGGGGTTTTGTCCTAGTAAACAGTTGACAGCACTTGCCTTTGGAGAGGTAGCGTCACCTGTTGCACTTCTCTCATGTACAAACATCCAGTGGGAGATGCCGAAAGAGGCTCTTTTACATTTAGAAGCTAGGGGAAAGGCCCTTATTGCCTACGCCAGCAAGATTTTGAGATTTTGAGATTAGTAGAGAAACAAGTTAATTTGAGTGGTTAGGTTAACTTTCAGAACTGTTAGATTGTAGGAAGAAGGAAAAACTGTGAGAGGCATGATTGTTTCTGACATTTCAACAGCGCACAACTCTACAGATGGTGTGTTTGTTTCTGAAAGTGATGAGGTGACTTGAATTCAGGTTATTTACGAGTAGTGAATGACTAACTAAAACAGACTTTAAAAGAAGGAAAACTATACTCACACACCATTTATAAAATATAATAATAATAATAATAATTTGGTCATTTAATCCATGACTGTTTGTCGAACACTGCTGTGTGCAATTGACTGCCGCGTTTCGCCCACAAAACATACAGTCAATTCACTTTACAGTATATTCCGTGAAGCGCTTTGAGACGTCTCAAAGACATGTTGAGGCACTATATCAAATGCAAGGAATGTTATAACTATAGCAAAATGAATGCGACACCAAAACCAATTTCCATGGAGATTACATGGTGCATATAGAGCACATGAATTGTTTCAGTGGGACAAGTGACCACCTTCGATGTTGTAATTTATGTGATTTATACACTCTATAAAGTTGAAGCCATTTGAATTCCATTTCCATGGTTGTGGAGTACTGTAATGTATCGGTTAGAGCACTCACCTCGCAAGTGAGAGAACCCGGGTTCAATTCCTGGGGATTGCTGTGTTTCACCCACAAAATATATAGTCAAACCCCTTTACAGTTTTGAGATGTCTCAAAGACGTTATAAGGCGCTACATCAAATGCAAGGATTATTATTATTATTGTTGTTAAAATAATACCAGCAGAGGCTGAAAACAGTGAATAGTCATTGTTCAATTTGTTTGTTTGGCTCCTCACACAGCAGCTCTGCTGGGGTTAAACTAGACATCTATTTTGGTAAACTGAGAAGCAGATATAGAGAATACACTTGAAAGCTCCTATTGCTCACTGATGACATGTAGCATATTCCCTTCACCTTGCCTACAGTTTTCTGGACACAGGTGTGTGTGTCCTGGGTAGAAACTGAAGCTATAACTTCCAGCAGTTCAAGATTCATATAACAAAAAGGTTAATGCAAAGATTATTATTATAATATGTTCTCTTTGCACATATTCTGAACTATCCACGTTGACTGGCCAATAATAATAATCCATGTTTATAGTGCCTTGTCACATCATTGAAACATCTCAAAATCTCAGTTGCGTGCAGCAATGTCCCACAAATAGCCATGAAGTGAGTGATCGATTTTTATTTGGGGAGATTGTTGCCCATGACACCGGGAGTAACTCCTTTCTCTTTTCAAATAGTGCCATAGGATCTTTAACATCTACCTGAACTGGCAGGCAAGACCTTGTTTTAATGTCTCATCCAAAGGACAGCACCTCCGACAATATAACACAATCCCAGCACTGCATTGGAGTGTTATCTTATAATATAATATATTATTATATTATCATCATCTCCCTAGAAGTGATGGTCAAGCACTTGTTGGACTGTGCCACTTGGGAAGCCTTGAACCTGACGCGCTCAAAGATGTCATTCACGAAGGAGCTGACAATACTCCTCCATGGCCCTGGAGGATAAATGAGTAAATTAGGAACTTATTTTACTAATCTCCGTTAGTTTCTGTGTTTAGGTCAATGTTTGGACACTTCAGCTGCTGTATTATTTGTCTGGATGCACATTAACAATGGAAGAGATCAAGGAATTTGGGGTGATTGGTATAAATTGACATTTCAGCAGGAATTGTCAGCAAATGCCTCATTTTGTGTTATCCCTTATTTTCCCCACTATTTGTCCAAGTTCTGGGAGGAGCATGTGATTTGGTCTGGGAAACCTTACTATGTCATCCCCTTCCCTCATTGTCTGTTCTGCAGGTCCCCGTTCCCCCAAACTGATGCTTGCTGTTGCTCTGTGGCTAGAACTGAGGCAATTGAAAAAAAATCACACATTTAACGCTTAATCTGCTCGTGTTCCCAGGGCCATTTTGTTTTTAATATTTAAGATCACCCATTGTGACCTTTGAGTCTGGAGCTGGGAATAATAATAGACTCTATATTAGTCTCAAGACCTTCCTCTTTGACATGTGTACAGTCATCCTCCCACCAACCTCCTTAATTCCAACCCCCAGCTCAGGCTCAAACCTATGACTATCCAATGCCTTGGGAAGTCCACCTGATATGAAAGGTGCTACATAAATTTGTTGTTGTTTCAAAAATTCTCAAAATGCTTTGAAGAGCTATCTGTAAAGTGTAGTGGGTTTGCATTTTGTAAGCAGGTGCGGCAGTCAGTTTGAAACAACAAAGTCCTACAAACAGCCATGAAACAAATGACCAATTTTTTATTTGGGAGAATTGTAGGCCAGGACAGTGAGAGAAACTCCAATCTCTTTTGAATATCGGCAATGAGATCTTTGACATCCACCTGAATAGGTAGTCAGAATGTCAGGTTACGCTCTCATCCAAAAGATAGCACCTCCAACATTGGAGCACTCCCCTAGCACTGCACTGCAAACCTAGACCACATCCCCAGAATTGTTCTCTGATTGGAATGATTTCAAAGGCCTTTATTTTTAGCCAATTGAGTGTCATAATATTGAAATAACCAGGTTAAAATTGTTGTAATATAACTCGATCCAAATCAAAGCTGTGTCAGTAAGATTCTTTATTTGTCAATCTAAACACTAAATAATCCACCATTCTAAACCACGCACCCTTTGTCCCACTCCTAATGTTCTTTGGTTCTTCCTGCCCTTTTTGTTGGCCCTTTTGTTAATTGTCAATTTACTCTTAAAGAAGTATCCAACAATTGTGGTGATTTTTCTAGACAAGTGTGAGCCATTTTAAACTATCAGTTCCACTGATATCCTCAGAAACTGGTCAAAATGAGTTAATTCGACAGAAGCCCTGAGAATCTTAAGATACTGAAAACGGTATGAAAAAAAACAGGTGCACTTGTTCCAATGTGACATTTCAAGATGTAGCATGTGAATAGCATGTGAATAGTTAGCAGCCACATGACACCTAGTGTCAGAGTGTTGCATTGATGTTTGGTTATAGCACCAATAACTATCGAGAACCTCTCAAAGCGCTTCATAATGTTGCTGTAAAGTTTCTGTAAAGTGTAGTGATTGTGTACTTGCAGTTGAGCATTGACATTTTTTTATTAAAATGTTGCTCTGAAGCTGGTTGCAAATGTTAGCTTGGAGTCAACTTGAATTTACCCTCATTGAAGGAAAGCAAGAAGTGTTCTCAGATCTTTAGTAAAACACAATCCCCTGTTACCTGTTGTTTCTTGTTTCCAGGTCAGGAAATCAATAAGGAGTCACGAGAACGTCAACAACAGGCTTTAGATAAAGCTGAGGCAGAATTTAAGAGGAAATATGATCTGATTTGTGAGATTCGGGCATTTGAAAATTCACCGGCACCAAAGCACAGTTACTTGGATTTAACCCATGTACGTATTGGAGTGTGAAAAGCTGAAGCATCCTCAGCTATTAATCACGAAAAATGTTTCACATGGAATGTAGAACTATCTCTATAGACACTGTTTATAATATACATGCTGCAAATCACAGTACATTGAGGCTCCATGGAACTTATTTAAAAGTTAGTGCAAAGAATCTAATGGTTTAGTTATTATTGTCATTAGCTGAAGTGAGGCAGAGATGGTGGGTATGTGTGCATGCACTGAGAATAGTGTGCACTGCAGGAGAGTTCTTAAATCCAGAATTTAATAAAATCCTAATCGAAGAAAGGACATACTCGCCTTAGAGGGGGTGCAGCGTAGATTCACTAGGTTAGTTCCTGGGATGAGGGCTTTGACCTATGAGCATAGGTTGAGTAAACTAGGCTTATATTCTCCAGAATGTAGAAGAATTAGGGGTGATCTTATAGAAACATATAAGATTCTTATGGGGCTGGACAGAGTAGACAGTGTGAGACTGTTTCCCTCTGGTAGGAGAATCTAGAACTAGGGATCACAGTCTTAAGAATAAGGGTCTTTCGAACAGAGTTGAGGAAACACTTCTTCACTCAGAGGGTAGTGAATTTATGGAATTCTCTTCCCCAGAAGGCTGTAAATGCTCAGCCTTTGAACATATTCAAGACTGAAATTGATAGACTTCTAAAGGATAGAGGGATTAAGGGATATGGGTATAAGGTGGGCAGATGGAGTTAGGTTAGAAGATCAGCCATGATCTTATTGAATGGTGGGGCAGGCTTGAGGGGCAGAATGGCCTACTCCTGCTCCTAATTCCTATGTTCCTAAAATGCTAGTTTCTCATTCCAGAAAATGGCATACATCCCCCTTGAATAAAAAAGCATCATGTGGTTGGTATCAGTATGCTATACATGTCACCTGATCTCAGTTGGAAGAGTAGTCAGAGTAGTCACAATTGCCTACAATGGACCCCCCCCCCCCCCCGGCCAGTTATGGATGGAAAATCTGCCAAGGTTCCTTCCTCTGATCGCTACTGCTGGAAACTACATGCAATTTTGGAAGACAACAGGATTGGCCTCAGTTACAATTCCTCGCACAGATGACACTACATCTGTAAAAGCCAACAAAGTTAAACCCGACCCTGTCCTCACTTGGGGTCTGAAGTTTCTCATGTTCTAAGGCTAAAGAATTATTCTTTTTGACTAATATAGAAAATTGGCTTCCAAAACTAAGACTGGATTCAAGAAGGTTTTCAGTCCTCCTCTAACACTGCAATGGGGCTTGAACCCACAACCTTGTTTAAGCTCGAATAGTTTAAAAGGGCTCTCTTTTACACTTGAGTTCAAGTCAGTTTCACAAATTCAGTGGTACCGCAATGCATGCTTTGGGGCCCAGAGCTTTGGTTATTGCCGACATATGCATAAATCCTCAGGAGAGAGTGTGCTTTGCATATTAAACAACAGAAACCATAGATCAAGTTTGATTTGGAGACTCTTAAGCAGGTAATGGGTTTCCACATGTGATGGAAATTTGAGTTACAATATGTTCATATGTAAATATACATATTAGCTTCAACATATTTCCATCCGTGTATATGATACCATTATTTACATAACCTATAACTATTTCTTCACAGAAACAGTTATCTCCAGTCTACTTACATAGCATGCGGGTACTGCCAGTCCTCTGCTCTCTCTCAGCATCTCATTGTGGATCTTGGAGTCTGGGGGTTCTTTCTTACTGCCAGAAGGGTGACTTGCAATCTATAATAAATAATCCTACTATACTGCTGAATTTGTGAAACTGACTTTAACTTGACAGATAATGCAGATGAATGTGAAAGAAAGCCCTGAGCAGTAACATTTCCAACACTATCACCACTACCAATCAGTGTTGTTTAGCAGAATCAGTCACATTCAGCACGCTGCCGAATGATGATGAAAGCCATGCTATTAACTTACATTGCACAGCACATAATTAAAAGGCAAGTTAAATAGAAGTGCATCTCTTGGCTTAATTTACAACAGAGTCACAAAGCAAAGAGCATGTGTAAAAATGAAAGGTACAATTCAGATTAAACTTGATTGTTATTGAATTGAATGTGTTTCAGGAACAGTTTGTTATTGAATGTGTTTCAGGACAGCTGTTACATTCAACTCTGCTTTTAGAAACAAACTATATTCACCAAAAATCCATTCACTTTATACAAACTTTCTTCTATTGGTGAGACATAGAATTAATTAAAGGCATTGAACCAGTGGAAATTGATTTATACATGTTTGGTTTTATGATGCTGGTAACATTTTGTAGCAGTTATAAGCTGTTTACCAAGATAATATAAATTGTTCTATTTATAATAGTGAGAAATGGTCCAGTAACTCTCCTCCACAGCATAAATACCTGGGTAGTTCATGATTGAATTCTACATCTGGAAAAAGAAGGATGGACCAAATGGCATTTTCTAATTCTATGTTCTTATTTATCCTTACAATTTAAAATGTTTTCAGAAGCTTTTCTTAGCTTAAGCTGTGCACCCAATTCACATAAAAGTACCAAGTCTCTTAGAAAATAATACTGTGCCCTTTTCCAGGTGACAACAGTTTTTGTCACAAAAATCGATGCCTAAAATATGAAAAAAATGGGAAATATAAAGAATTACAACAACAACTTGGATTTATATAGCATCCTATTATTAATAGAGTTTAGGATTGTTTAGGACGCTATATAAATAGAGTCCTAAATAATAGCGTCCTATACAACAATGCAATTTTCAAAACTTAATGTATTGCTAGTTCATAACTGTGTCCTATTTACCATTTCAGAAGTATTCCCCTCTGACACAGGCTTTAGCCAATGAATGTAAATGTACTGTGTTTATTAACAAAGACTGTAAACAATTCACAGCTTGAAATAAATAATACATGAGCATAAATACTAAATTCTAGGAGCGCTAAAAATAAATGAAATGTTATTAATAGTTCTTTGATAACCAGGCACTTTGCAATAGCCTTGGACTAATGGCTCTCCTATCAAAAGTTCACTATTATTGGGGGAAAACTCCCTTCTTTAATCTACAAAATCCTAGTTGACCTCAGTGTCCAACAGATATTGTGGATATTAATCAAATCTTTGATCCATAATCCACGATATCATCTCTGACTGTAGCCTCCACAAAACCACTTGTATTGAACTCAATTTCTCCTTCAATACAACTGTCTGAGTTCTGAACTCATCAACAGAATTCTGTTTTCATTACCGAACTGTCCTGTCTCTGACATCTTCATCAATACACTGCAAACTACTCTTAATATCCAGCTTGAAAGACGTTATATAAATCCAAGTTGTTGTTTTGTAATCATTTATATTTCCCATTTTTTTCATATTTCAGGCATTGATGTATATGACATTGTTAAAAACTCCATTTGCAATTTTGCTACTGTTTGTCACCTCTATGAAAATAAGCTTTTAAACAGTGATCTTTTTAACCTCATTCTGAAGTTACCCATTATTCTCTTTAAATAAGTTGAATGTGTAATTTACAGTTTATATAAAGCACTAGATTATTAAATTCAGATCCTACAATTGTACCTAAGTTATCTCACATGTAGAATACTTTCCTCATTTTCCAGACACCTGGTTTTATGTTGCACGAGATGTCATTTACAGAGTTAAGAGAACGTTTAGGCCTGTTGAAGGAAGCAAGAGCTAAGGCAGAAGAGGAAAAGCGAGGCAAGATTATGATTGAGAAAATGGCTAAGGAACAGCTTATTTTGGATAAACTGGAAAAAATCTCCCTGCACAGAGGAGTCTGGAGCAAGAAAGTAATTGACAGGTACCATACAGGGCCCTTTCCATCACCATTTTACCCTGTGTTTTATCCAACTGCAGATGTTTTCATTCTGACAACTCGCCATTCCTTTATCAAACGCCATGGTTTTAAAGGTTATAGATTGGATAGCTCGAATAGAGCAACCACGAGTGGAAACGTGCAGACTTTATGGCCCATTTCTGTGTTGTAATAATCTAATATACAAACCATTATGGTATGACTGAAATTTTGTTGCTTTCTCAGTACGTCTCAAAACGTTTATTTCTCTCTGAACATGCTTTTGGTGAACTTTTCCCCTCCCTATAACTTTTATTCCCACTTCCAGCATGAGGGCCCAGCTAGCAGGTGCTTTGAGGCGTCCTTGAAAAGTGTGATATCAATGTAAATTGTATTTTATTACACTCTACTGCTGAAGCATGTTGCATGTCAATAGATGGTGTTAATTATAAGGCACAAGCTAAAAACATGACAGCAGATAGAGACCAGAACACTGGACTCATTTAAAAGGCAGCTTGATGGGGTGACAGTAGGGTGGGTGTTCTGAAGAATGAGGTCAGATGGGCTGAAGTCAGCATTTTTGGGGGTCAGCCGGATGTCTGCTTTCCTGCTGCTTGTTCAGTTAGGACCACCCTACCCGTTAGGGTTTTGGCTTGCAGGGCTAACAGGAGCTGAGTGGGAATACTTCCTACCCTCAGTGAATTGTCTGCCCTACCAGGTACTGCTGATGAGCCAGGCTGGCTGTGCTGTCATCATCAGTGCCCTGGAACATTGTGGACCCACGTAGCTCAGGAACAGGACTACCAAGACCACGACAGCAAGCTGGTTCCATTCTGACTTTCTATTGCCAGGCATGTCACCTTGAAGCCACTTCCACTCAAAGGAGACGCCACTAACCAAGCCGCCAGCCCCTCCCTCACCCCCACCCTCAGAGGATAGTCACTATAGTCAGCATTAACCGAGTAGTTTATTCTTGACCAACATATAGTGCAGTGCAAAAGTAGAGGGAAAACGGATAAATAAATAATAAATAATCCTTGCATTTGATATAGCGCCTGATCACGTTGTTGAGACATCTCAAAGCACTTCACAGGATATCTTGTAAAGTGGATTGACTGTGTAGATTAAGAATTAGATACATTGAGATTAGATACCATCTCTAAGGAGTGCAACACCTCCCAAAAGAAAAACAAGGAACAAGAAAAATGAATTGAAAGGCCTTCTTCTGTTGTAAAATCACAGCACAGCAATGAAAATAGAGTATAAGCGGGTACAGAAAGTGTACATGTATATATAGAAATAGGTACATTTGCACATTATTTAGAATTTATTGTTGAAATGACTTGCATTGACTATCTGGAGTAAAGCTAAAATCAGAAATCCAAGTTTATTTTCTAACAGACAGGAGGAAATCAAGATGTTGTCCCATTCCAGTCTGGTAGCGAGCGACCAAAGCTTGGCTGAGCTGGAAAAAAAACTGAAGGAGAGAAAAAAGGAGCGTCAGAAACTGACAGTGCCCCAAAAGATTGTCACGCACAATGAATGGTCAAGACTTATGAGGAGAAAAATTTCAAAGCAGGTAAAATATTCTCCATGAACTCTTTTCCGTTAATAGGAAGTATAATTTTCTTTTAAAATAATAATAGTCCTTTCATTTGATATAGCACCTTATATTGTTGTTGGGACATCTGAAAGCGATTCACAGAATATACTGTAAAGTAAATTGACTGTATATTCTGTGGGAGACATGTGGCAGCCAATTGCGCACAACAGTGTCCCACAAACAGTCGTGGATTGAGTGACCAAGTTATTATTTTTTTTGAAGGGATTGTTCCCCACCGGAAAAGCAATCTGTCAATCGACTAACAACCGGGTTCCTACTTACTCCTAGGTAAACAGAGGCATGTGGAGTAAGGAAATGTGCCTAAGGTTTGCCCCACCTGGGAATTGAACCCGGGTCCTCTCGCTTGCGAAGCGGGTGCTCTAATCATTGCTACAGGACTAAAATGCATGAACAGAAATTGCTCTCATTCAACTTATTAGTTCCATTATACCTGGCTAGTGCTGTGTTTCTCCTGCACTTTCATGGCATTTTGCTGCTGGAGCTCTGCTGCTGACACCACATTGATCTAAATGCAACAGTGTGAAGTGTCCGTTCTGCTTCTCGACAGTCCCTGGAAAGCTCTCAGGCAGCTCGTTGGACAGGAGGAGCAAGAAATATAAATCAATTTCCCTGCTTCACATTCCTTGACTGATTGTACACTTTTATAATATTGTCTATAAATATCTACAGGCAATTTGTTGGTAAGGAAAGAGCTCAGAGGCAACAGGAAACATGCTAAAGTACAGTGTCTTAATTGTTCCCAGTAAATCAATGGTTTTAAATTCAATGACAATCTGGCTTGCACTGTGATATTTCATCCCCACTGTCCCAGGCTATATTTGCATGCACTTTATGATTAAAAATGTTTAAACACAGCATGATAGCATCACTCTCAAAGATCCAGTTTATGAATACAATACAATACAAATAACATTTGTATAGCGCCTTTCATGGCAGGAGGACGTGTCAAGAATTTATTGCCCATGTGACCAGGAACAACAACAACAAAACTACATTTGTATAGCGTGGTTGTAAGCTTGATTTCCATTCGGTTCCAGATTACAATACTAGATTTAGTCTCAACCCTTCCGTTGCTCCCCAGTTAAGTTCTGATGTCATGCACATAATTATTCTCTTTTGGATCCTAATTGAACTTCTGTAGATTTCCAGCATTTCTGTTCCTGCTGAAGGAAAGCTTTTAATGGTGATTTGAGCTGTTACCTCCTAACAATAAAAACTGCCCTGAAATACACCAGTAACTGCATTTACAAAATGACATAAAGATAAAAATTAACATGGATCAAAAGCGCTGTGTGTGTTGGTGTGGGTTCTCCTTGCAACAGCGCCCCCTAGTGGTCATGGAGGAGTCATGGCTATGTCGTCACCCTTGATATGGAGTCACTAAGCTCTTTTCCCTTGGGGTGACGATACATTCAGAGTTTACTGTATAACTCTGAATTTACCAGAACCATGAATGTCTTATTGCCCCCTCCCCCACCCACCAATCCAATATTTTGCTTTCCCTCTCCCCACACATCCTTTGTTAATTACCGTTTCATGCTGGATAATGATTTCAGAAGTGCCCACAGCCCTCTTCACCCCAAAATTCTTAATATGTAGGTTTGGGCAGCAAGTTTTAAGAGGCTATTTGATCGTGATGAATGTCACTGCCAAATTCAATCTTATGTTCGTCCAACATCATACATTCCAGAAGAACTCAGTGGATTGGGATCAAAATGGGAAACCTAACTGCTTGTTTTCCTCCATCTTAAGGGAGCAGAGGCCAATTGTAGAAGCTAACTTGAAATTAGCCAGCTCAGCACACAGTAAAGATCAAACTGGAATCGTCCTGGTCTGCATGGCTCAGTACCATACCATACTCTGCATTTACCCACAGACACATCACTTGTCCTAATTTTCAATGGTCAAAAATTGTAAACAATAAATGTCAGCAATTTGCTATCAAAAGTGTAAAATGGGACTGGACAGTAGAGTGGGCTAGAAGTTTCTTCATTTTGATTCCAATTCAGCCTACATGAAGGGATCCTTTGTGAAATCAGTTTTGGCATTCTCATCCCAATTCATATGGGTACAGATTCTCAGGACAAGACTGACAGTAACTGATAATCTCATTCACAAAAGCCACCAAAGCAATGAACAATATTAATGAATATATTATATTTAATCAATATTTTGATGAAGCAAGCAGCAAAGCAGAGTGGACGTGAAGCACAATGCTGAGAGTTGGGTCTGCTGAAGGCTAGGACTCAGGAGGTGTTAGGACAAAAATATATTTGAGTAATGGAGAGAGAGCTGATGCCCGTTTTGTGCGAACCCTGTATGAGTTTCTGGCCTTAACAAGTGCTGGAGATAACTACACATGTGTAAAGTGTAAACTGCACACTCTCAATTGAGCGCAAAGTTGCTGAGAAACTCAGGGCACGTGGAATAAGGAGAAACTTGGCAGTTTGGATAGAAAGGTGGTTGAGGGATAGAAAGCAGGGAATGGTGCTAAAAGGTTGCTTTTCCAGTTGGAGTTAGTGAGTTTGTGGTTTGTCACAGTAGTCTGTGCTGGGACCTCTCTTTTCCATTTATATCAAATGACCTTGATTTGGATATAGGGAGCACAGTATCAAAGTTTACGGATGATACCAAGCTAGGAAGCATAGTGAATTCCGATGAGGATGGAAAGAGACTGCATGAGGTTTTAAACACATTAGAGAAATGGGATGATCAGTAACAAATAAAGTTTAATGAAGTGAAATGTGAGGTGATTCTTTTGGTAGAAAAAATAAGAGGAGTGTATATTGAATGGCAGCATCTTGCAAGGAGATGAGGAGAAAGGGAATTTGGGAGTCCAGCCATTAAAAAATTAAGTCATTAAAAATGGCATTGTACGTGGCAAAGAATGTAAAGAAAGATAGTAGCATGCTGGGTTTTATACACAGGGGCAAAGAGTACAAAAGTAGAGCAATAATGTTAAGTTTGTAAAAATCATTGGTTAGGCTACAACTGGAGTACTGTCTGTATTTAGACACCTCACTTCAGGAAAGATGTTAAGGCCTTAAAAGCTGTGCAGAGGAGGTTTATGAGAATGAATCCAGGGTATAGAGGGCTCCAGTTATGAGGGGAGATTGGAGAAGTTGCATCTGTTTTCATTGGAGCAGAGAGGGTTGAGGGAGAATCAGGTACACCTGATAGATGTGTACAAAATTTATCAGGGTAAATATAGAGAAATTATTTCCATTGGTAGGAGAGTCACTGACAAGAGGATATAGTTATAAGATAGCCACAAGAATAGCAAAATGAGAATTCGGAAATATTTTTTTATCATCCAGAGTTGTAGAGATATGGAATGTCCTGCCGAGTAGGGTGGCATTCAAGACGGAAGTTGACAGGCATATGAAAGAGAGACTTGAAGGGATATGGGGATAATGCTGGCGGTGGGATTGTATTGATCCCCTTGCTTTGTGAGCCTCAATGGGCCAAGTGGCCTCCTACTGCACTGTAGATTTCTAGGTTTCTAAGTTGATTGTTGTAGCAGAGTACAGGTAGCTTTACTCCATATCTGATGATAACACTTTGTGCAAAAAATAAACAAGTGTCCCATTCCAGCACCTACTTTGAGCACAAAAAATCACCAAAATGGAAAACAAAATTATTGCAAATCACTGGTAAGAAGAATGTATTCTATATTTAACCATACCTCTTCTCATGTACATTTTTTATTTAGAATTCAATTGAAGAGCACCACTGGCAGAGCAATGAAGAAAGTCGTGAACGTCAGGCCCAGCTGCTTAAAATGCGTAAAATGGCTATTGCAGCGGACTTGGCAGAATAGAAAATCAAGCTGCTTATCCATCATAGAACTCAACAATATTATTGCCACCCAGATCTCTCTCAACTGAAACAAAATACTGTTTTCAGTTTAATTTATTCATTATGTAACTTGAATTGCTGGTCGTAACTATCTTAAAACTGATTTTAAAAAAGTGAAATCTGAAAAATGTTTTTATTACAATGAAAAATGCAGTGATTTGGTGTGCTCTTTCCAGGATTACTAAATGTTGTACTGCTCTGTCAAAACCCCTCATACTTTTGTACGCTTCTTATCAGGTTCCCCCATGTCCCCTCCGCTCCACCATTGGCAACTATTCTTTCAGCAGCTGCGCCCTGGAACTTTCTGCCTCAATCACTCCACCTTGCTCACCCCTTTTATTCGTGCCGAAGATCTTCCTCTTCAGCTATGCTTACGGTCACCTTCCCCCAATTCAATATCAGGCTCTGCCACTGTTAAATATTCGAAGACGCTACACTGAGTGAAGGGCACTATATAAATGCAAGTTGTTGTATTTTGTGGGGGTTTTCTGGAATGATGAGATCAGTTGAGCTGAAGGGCTGTCGTCATCCAACGTAATCTTTTCAATGCTGTCTGTCCCACTCAATCTTTGTCAACGATGGAGTGGGACAGACACATTGACAGACAGTGTACTCTTCCCCCAACACATTCAATTGCCCATCTCTCAGAGACACATTAACCTCCCATTTCAGGGCCACATCCTTCCCACCGTCAACTTAGAACCACATTAAACACCCCTATCTTCAGTAACTATTTCACCAATCCTCCACCGTTTCATCCACAAAATATACAATCAATAACATTTTAACAGTTTGTGGTCACCTCAATAATCCAGCCACCTCACAATTGTGGGCACATTTTAACAGTCTCATTCATGGTCTATATTAAAAGATAGATTGTCTGCTTCAGTAAACAGAGCACCTCGCTATTCAGGACAACGGTCATTGATTGCAGTCTGGGCCAATAGAAAAGTGTGGCTACTACAACCGTTCTCCTACAAAAGCGGTACAAATATTCCCCCTCCGCTACTAACCTATACACACAGTGAGCTAGACCTCAGGCCTCTCACGCTGTTTGCTTAATGCTGCTACTGTCGGGGGCAGCGGGCTCCTGTCACACATGCGCAATGCGCAGGGAGTGTTGGGATCATGGAAGTGGCATGAGTGGGAAATCAGCTTTGCCCGCAGCCTAACCTGAGCTCCGGGGGCCAAACCTGAGCTCCCACGGCCTAATCTGAGCTCCTGTGGCCAATTCTTGGTAAGTGCTGTAAACCTGCCACCATGGCAGGAGTGGTCCTTACATAAGAGAGTGGACTTAATTAAGAACAGTGAGAGCAAAAGTCACAGACAGCTGTGATCTTTGGCATTGGCAAAACATAATGGATGCATTGTGAAAAGGAAAGCTGAATACATGACAGCTTTTGAAGAAAATCAACCTGATAGAAAACGTGTGTGTTTGAACTCTCAATATGAGGACATTGATGAACTGACATGGGAGTAGTTCCAGCATGACCGTGGTCTCAACATGCCTGTGTCTGGCCCTATGATTCTTCCATGTTCCCCCATAACTTTCCTTTTCAAGAATCTATGCAACTCCCTCTTAAAATTATTTATGCCTGCACATAGGAAATACTGGACGAAGAAAGACCAAGGTTCTTCTAGTTCATCTTCCACCTTCCTGGTGGTCACATGCACATATGTCCCAAACTACCGATGTACTATATCCCATAATGTTATTTCCTTAAAGAAAACTATCTATAAGAACAGTTTAACAACAGTTGGTGGCAGAGAATTCCATGTGCTCACTGCCCTCTGTTGACAATGCACTGCTGGGGAATTGCTGTCCTTCATGCGAGGCATTAAACTGAGGCTCCAGCTGCCTATTCTGAGGAATATTAAAGATCCCTTGCCATTATTCAAAAAGAAGGGAATTTCTCCCAGCCAACAATCCCACCAATAAAATTGATCCAATGCCATGCTGGAACTTGTCATCATGGCTGTTTGTGGGACGTTGCTGTGTGCAACTTGGCTACTGTGTATATATTGAGTATATTCTGTGAAGTATTTTGGGTTGTCCTGACATGAAAGGCTCTGAACCAAATGGAAGGATTATTATTAAAACCACATCCCCCCCCCACCCCCCTCATCCGCTCAGCGTTCGATGGGTTCTGCACAAGAGTTTTTACTAGAATTCAAAGCATTAATTGGGTGTTTTTATTTCCTCCTTCCCTCCTTCCCCATGTTTAATATAATAATAATCCTTGCATTTGATATATTGTCAAGTCTTCGAGACGTCTCAGAGATTCACAGAATACAAGGTAAAGTGAATTGACTGTGTATTTTGTGGGCGAAACGCAGCAGCTAATAATCCCTCAAATAATAATAATCATTTGGTCACTCAACCCACGGCTGTTTGTGGGACAGTCTGTGCACAGTTGGCTGCCGTGGTTTGTAGAGTTCTGAATGAGTTGGATCGTTTGAACAGTGGAGCCGGGGAGACCGGCGAGGAGTGCGTTTATTGTTCCAGGCTGTACAGTGTGCTGTACAGGATATTCTGTGAAGTGCTTTGAGACGTCTCAAAGACGTGATAAGGTGTTACATCAAATGCCAGGAGTATCATTATTATTACTACATAGCGGGTCCTATCTCTGTCCTAAGATGTTCCAGAGGAAGCTTTGGTAATGACCACCTCTGGCCCGAGCGCAGCATCCTGGGAGTTGTAGTCTGAGCTCAGTGGAGCAGCGGGAGAGGGGGTGGGGGAGCCGTGCCCGGGGCGCGCGGCATGCTGGGACTTGTAGTCCTGCAAAAAAAACCCTGGGCTAAACTACATCTCCCTTTGTGACCTCTCCCTGACCTCTCCCCCCCCACCCCACCCCCACCAGCACCGCGGGCGTTTAGTGGGGGCGGGGACAGGGCCTGTGACGTAGAATGACGGAGAGTCGAGTTATCCAATCGACATGGTCACCGTTACCGCCGCCCCCCCCCCCGCGGTTTAGCCAATTGGCGGCGGTGCAGTTGGAGGCGGGACATCCTGTGGGAGTGACGGCTGTTTCCTGTGGCCCAGGGCGCCTGCGCGGCTCCTCTCCGGTGGTGAATGGCGGTTGCTCTCCCCTCCCCTTGTACTCCATGTCTCTCTCTCTGGAGATAATCCCTTCACTTTATTTTCTGGTCCGGTTGACGACCTTTTTGTTGTTGTTTTAAGGTAATAACTTCCTTCCCCTTTGGCTGTGTGGACGCAGTGAGCGAGCTGTTAGTGTCCGGGCCGGGCCGGGCCGCTCCCCAGGTGATGGCAGCCGTTAGGCCTCAACAATTCATTCAAGTCACTGTAAAGTCTGCAAAAGGTTGTGTTTGTGGCGGTGTCCGACTTCCCTGACGTGACCAGTGTCCCAACTGGTGCGTTGGCACCGCCGGGTATCAGATTAGCGGGAAACGTGAGGGTTGAATGTGAGGGTGTCGCCTCTGCGAAGAAATATTTGGGCTATTTATGTGTTTTTAATTCCCTGTGGCCGGGGCGGGGGGACGAGCTGCTCGCTTTCCTTTGTCGTGAATCCATAACGTGCAGCCAACACCACCGTGTATTCCAGTGTGATTTATGTCAATCAATGGACTGCAGGAGGCTTTCCTCACGAAGGCGGTGCCCCTTTTAAGACCTCAGATATTCATTCTAATATCTTGTGATATATCGCAGGTTTAACTTAAAAAACAGGTCCTGCTGTTAAAATATTGCTGCGGTTATTATGTTCTGTAAGAATGTCCTTTACGCTGCCCTTGGATGTTTAACACGCTATGTTTTGTTTAAACTGCTTTCAATTTCAGTTTTAAAACTGTGGAAGGTAATGACATTTTTTTTCTGATGCGCCAAGACTGTATACGGTCCTTTAGCTGCATGTTTTGTCTTAATATTTTTTGGGGGTCAGCCAGGTGTCTGACATATGTGGAAACCCAGTGTCTGTGAAGTATTAAGCGCAGGTAGGCAATAGTCAAGGTTTGGGGACCCCAGAGTGTGCTAGATTCTAACCAGTTAAAACTGCATAGCTTACCATTGATATTGCTGTCTGTCCGGCAAGCTTTCCCACTGTTTGTCCAACTAGGACCACCCTACCTGTTTGGGCTTTGGCTTGCAACAACGACAACAACTTACACTTATATAGCGCCCTCCACATAGGGTAGCGTCTCAGAGTGCTTAAACGTGGCGGAGCCTGAATCCAAGCCGGTGGCGGGGGGGAGGTGGCCGTAAGCACGGTCGAAGAGGAAGGTTTTCAGGCAGGACTTGAAAAAGAGGAGAGAGGGGGCAAGGTGGAGGCATTGAGGGAGAGTGTTCTAGAGTTTCAGGGCGTAGTGGCTGAAAGCGTGACCTCTGCCCTTCCAGATCTTGCCAATGAGCCAGGCTGACTGCTGTCATCAGCAGTGCCCTGGAGTACTGTGGACCCGCTCAGGAACCGGACTACCAAGACCAACATGGAGGGCGGACTCGATTCTGACATTCCATTGCCAGCCATGCCACATTAGAGCCAGTTCTCTCTGAGATTAACGATTGTGATTTCATTTAGAAATGTGAGCTATAGGGAAGACTAGAGAGTTTGAATTGTAAATTAAAAAGCAGGAATCCTGTTAGTTGAAAGAGCGATGTTTATATGTTGGAGAAGCAACAATCAAATGCGACAAACCAGCATTACAGCAGACATGTCATACATGGGTGGTTATGTAGAGGGCTCATAATGGTGCTGAGATTGTCCAAACAATACTTTTTAAATTGTCCTTTCATTTGGAGTTCTGGGATCTTATTTTCTAAATTAATCTTGTGTGTGTGTGTATATATCTATATATAAAATCAGAATTTGACTGAAAAATTCTGAAAAAGAATTCCCAAAAGCTGTAACCTGTGTTTTTATTAATGTAATGACAATTTGGAGCTTCAGTGATCAACAATATCATTGGAATTGATTCTTAAACCCGGCCACTTTGCAGAATGCAGGGCGCCGCCAGTGACTTTCTTTAATGGACAGGAGTGGATATTTCCTTTCTTGTTATTCCTTTTGCCAGGGTATGTACTTGAGTCCCCATATTTGCACAGATGGTCTCAAGAAGAACAACCATCCCCAAAACATCCACACAAAGCCATCTGGAGAAGGCGTGGAACATGACTTGCAGACTAAACCAACACAAACATGGGGAGCTGGGCAGGTGGGGTGCAAATAATAACATTCCATGGGGGCTGTGGAATGTCAGTATATAAAATGCAGATATACACATTGAGTAAAATACACAGAAAATATTGAGGGGGAAAAAAACAGCAAGGTAAATTCTTGCTACTGATGTATTGCTTCTGACAAGCTCATTGCAGCTTAAATATATCATCCCCCACCGAGGTGTGTGGAGTGCGTTCCTGTATTACTGATGTTGTAACAGATTTCAGGGGTTGGAATTCTCAGGCGTTCTCAGTGTAGGAGATTAGTTTTTACTCTGGAATTCACAGCTGTTTTGATTTGAAATAAAGGAGAGTAACAGATGTTCAGGAGACCCGCACTTTCATATTTTGCCTTGCTGTGCCACGCATCGAATCCGTGTGGGTGCAGAGGTTATAGATTTAATCAGGTACTGCAAGTACTCACGTTTTCTTAAAAAAATGGAGCCTGAAGATTTATTCAGGAGTGCGACAGCATGCACAGAACTTAGAAAAATACTTAGAAAATACTTTTTGATATTACTGGGGTAAGCTGTAAGCAAGCTTTAGGTTACATTGATAGGTTGAAATAATATTTGCTTACTTAATACCTTTTTGTGGAGTCCTGTAGCTCAGTGCTGAGAGCACTCGCCTCGCAAGCGAGAGACTTGGGTTCAATTCCTGGCAGGGCGAAGTGCTGAGCAAATTTCCTTACTCCACACGCTTCTGTTTACCGAGCAGTGAATAGGAGCCTGGATGTTAGTCGATTGGCGGATCGCGTGGTGCAGGCCTAGATCAGGTAGTAGCACCTGCTTGATGCTAGACTGGAAGGTTGGGTCGCATGGTGCAAATATTATGTTTTATGTTAAATAATAATAACAACTTGGCCACTCAATCCTTGATGACTGTTTATGAGACACTGTTGTGCACAATTGGCTGCCACGTTTCACCTATAAAATACACAGCCAATCCACTTTACAATATATTCTGTGAAGTGCTTTGAGACGTCCCAATGACATGATAAGGCACTATATCAATTGCAAGGATTATTATTATTTTGGTTTGATTGTATGGCACGTTTTAGTGTGTGTTCCTGTGTGTCATGAATTTAGTGCTGTGTGGAAATTGTTTGTGTAGGAGTACATGGGTGCTGCTTTGCCTGAAGCTGACCTTTTGCTGTCCTCTGCATGTATGACGTCATGGCCATTGGCTTCCAAATATTATCAGTAATACTTTGTAGAGTTTCTTCAGGATATAGTCACTGTTTGTGTGAGTTTAGTGACTGAATTCCAAAGTGTGGTGTCATGACTTGCAGAGTACTGTGATAGCAAGCAGCATGGTTCATTCTTGTTCATATTTTGTGTGTAAAGGAATTGGAACATATGAGGTGTATATTTGATGGTGGGGGAAGCGAATGACATAATGTGCTCTCTTTCCTGAGTAAATTGATAATTTAAGACTATTCTGAGTCTTCATATTCTAAATTTATAGTTTGATGGCATCAGGTGAGTAATGGCATTTGTGCACATGGTAAAATTGACCAAATATTACAAGAAAGGATCGTCAACAAAGGGGCTGCTTAAAGAAGTGTCATTTTTGCAGCTTGACCATGAAGTTTCAGGCTCTAGTCTCACATTAGTCAATTAACTAAATTTAACCCAACCCACAGACTGCACCTGTTTTTTGTTTTCAGAATGAGATGTACTTGAAGATTTGATGAGATCAAAATCATATATTCTGTTTTTACCATTTTGTGTGTGTGTGTGGAGAGATCATGTCAGTGTAATTTTGCTATAATTTGTTGCACAAGATTCGCTATTGAAGCCATCTCAACAGTTCATTACAAACAAAACTTGACTTTTGTGATTTAACATTTGTATGATTGTCATTTGCCACATGTTCTTCCTCAACCAAAGTGTGAGCTGCCAATCTGCCACTTGGCTTCTGTACATGCTGTAGGATTAGTATTTAAAAATGGAAGGTTATTTTGTGGGCTCTTACATGCACTAAGATTTTATCCCCAATCTTGTTTACTTTACTTGGTGTAATACAGCATAAAGGTGCAGAGAGTATAATAAACTGAACCATAACACAAACGTTACACCAAATTGGTTGTTTCTCTACCATCCCTTCAGTTGATCATCTGTTAAAAAATTCAGGATCTGATTGCTTTCAGTATCATTTAACCTTTTGAATCTGATTTAGCAAAAACCCTCTATACATACTACAGGGCATGGCCTCAGAAACATTCTGGTCCCGATATTTGTTTTCCATTAATTAAGCTGTATTCGCATTGCCTCATCCTGTTCCTTTTTTTAACGCTTAGAACCTTTCTCCTCCTTGACTACAGGTGGCCATGGCTCGCCTAAGTCCCTGTATTGCAGAACAAAGTTTTTCATATACCGAGTTATATAAACCTTTAGGAAGAGATACCTCAGAAAATACCTTGTGGAGTCCTTTAGTGTATGGGTCCTTCCGACATGAAAGACGCTCTATAAATGTAATTTTGTTGTTGTTATTGTTAGAACACTCGACTCACAAATGAGGGGAACCGAGTTCAATTCCCAGTTAGGAGGTCACAGAGGTCGGGGGGAGTTGAGGCCATGGAGGGCTTTGAAGGTGAGGACCAGGATCTTGAACTGTATCCTCTGTGTGATGGGAAGCCAGTGGAGTCGGGCGAGGATGGGGGTGATAGGGCCGAGCGACATTGTGGAGGTGGGGGAAGGCAGAACTGGTCATGTCACGGATGTGGGGTAGAAAGAAAAGTTGAGAGTCAAACAAGACGCCAAGGTTCGGAATCTAGAAGAACCTTGTAACCTTATAGGGAGTTGTTTTTTGCATAATAGTGTAAGATTGCTCGCTTGGTAAGGTATATAAACACATGGATTGGGGAACAAAAGCTGAGGTCTGGACACCGAGAAGAGCGGGTTGACGCGTTTCCCAGAGGAATATTGTTTTCTCTGTAACTACTGCTTTAATCTTTGTGTAAGGTTAACATTGTACTCATTGCCTAATAAACTCACTTATCAATACACCACCACTTTGGTTGTCTCCATCCGAATCTCTTACAGTGCCCAGCGTAAAATTATATCTCCTGCAATCTCCCTACACTCAGTGAACTATAAACTAACATCCTAAAGTATGTGCATTCAGTAGTTCACTTGTTACCAGGTCACAGTTGATGACGTTGTTTATAAGCTGTCTTTTAAGGAAGTTTCCAAAGTAAAAAGCCTTTTTGTAAGCCTTAGTCAAAATATTGTCATTGCTTTGTGTGTGATCAGTACAGTTCTGAAACTTGAGGGTGTTTCCAATTGCGTTTAGTGAGATAATCTATTCTTTATGTTCCCAGTACAAGTGAACTGCACTTTAAAAAGTCACAGAGGCAGCAGTTGGGGCACTGCAGTTGAACTCATTACTCTTGGGTGGAGAGCGAGAAGTCAGCCAAAGTTCCACACTTCTGACAGCTCTCCAGAGATCCCTGCAAGTTGTAATCGTATGCTCCTCCACCCATTGATTTGCTGACATACATGGCTCACATAGGCTAGTGGTTAAAGTTCAGTGTCCATTCACTGGGTGGGACGCACAGACCAGAAGATGCAGGTTCAGTTCGCGGTCTCGGATGAGATAGATCGCTGATTTCAAGTGGTGCAGAGATTCCACAATTGGTCTTGACTTTCTAGACTAAGAAAAATCATCAACTTTATTGTTCTCCAGCAATCCTTGCTGGGACATGCGCATGTGGTCAAGCATTCATTGCTGTTCACCTCTTTATAATCCTGTGGCAGGGTGAACGTGGAAGCTCACAGCTTTACTGAACAGTTTTGTGAGGATTGTGCTCTTTTGATAAAATCTAGGAAGCAGATTTGTAGCATCTTGTAACGAGTGTTACATTAATATCTAAAAAGGTGTAAAGGTATTTTCAAAGGAAGACGATTTTCTCTTTCTACCCTCTCCACTTTAAACTGCCGTTTGTTGTACGTTGAGCAAGCAGGGGCCTCTCTCCCTGGCCTCCGCCTTTACTGTGCTTGAGGTGTACAAGAATACTTTGACTTTTCCCTCTCTCACTGTTCTTGGGGATAAGCGTCGTCCTGACAGAATCCCATTGTGTCTGCGTGATGGCAATCTGCAGGACGGCACATTGTATTTTATAAAGCATTGTAAACGAGCAAAATTCAACCCTTTTTTTAAAAAAAATGAATTTTGTTGTATTTCCACAGGTTTGACAAGAAGGACATTTCAACCCAAACTATGCCTTAATAAAAGCCAAATCTGCGATTTACAGGGAGTGTGCTTGGTCAGACATTAAGCACATAGGGCAGAAGACGCTGTTTTTCACATAACTGATGAAAAGATATTGATTCATCTCGAAGTGTGTCTACTTGATTTTTGCCTCACATTAAGATGAGCACAGTAAGTACTAAAATGTAAAGTCTTTTAACAAATTGAAGTGGTCTTGTAATTTTGCCGTGCGATTTGCAGTCGACACTGGTGCCAAAATTCTAGCCTTAAAATCTTGCTGGGTATTCCCCACCAATTTTTTTAAATTTAGGATGCCAATATTCCTATGTTCTCAGATTATGTAAATTCACCTTGTTTCAACCCTGTACTCCAAGTACTGCTGATGTTACTTTCTCTCCTTTCCCCCATTACGATAATTTTAAAGTCAATGTACAATTAATATAATCAGGAGAAAATGTGGAAATCGTAAAGAAGCTACAAAAGAAGAGAATTTTGTGGTTTTTATACAATTATATTTTATTTGGAAAATGAGAAATAAAGTTTTTAATATTAAAAATGGGAATAATGGAAGAAAAACAGTTGTAGAAAATCTGAAGTTACAGAAAATGAACTCTTGACTAAGAGCTGCAGAAATGCCACTTGTTGGAACATGGATCAGCAAGTCCCAGACTGGTTGGACGAGCAGCAGTTCTGCTGAAAGATATTTAATCGTTACTGGATATGTGACACAAGTCAGATTGCCATGCTTAAGAGTCTCCAAACCAAACTGAGAGTTCCACACATGGATGCACCCTGCTGGTGTAATCATGGAGAGTACTAGCAGGTTAGTAAGAGCACTAGTAAACTTCCTGTTGCTTGTTGAGCCAGAACAAGGAAGTTTACCAATGCTCATACAATCTTATCCATTAGGACGTTGGTTTGCAGGATTATCAGAAGCCAAGCGGGAAGAATTCCTGCCCCTAGTAACTAGTGTGTTCTCCAAGTTCTGCTAAGCCTTCCTGATCTATCATCCCTAGTGCCCAGGAGTTCTGCGACCTGCCTGGTTTAGGTATTGGTTTATGGAGAGAGCCACATAGCATTGACTGTTTGTCACAGTCACCCCTTTTGTTTTCTGTGTTGTCTGTTGTTTAAATATATTGAGTACTGCTTTAAATACATTTTGTATTTAACGTTTTTGATACTTATGGCGCCATCAAGTCTGACTAGTGTCAATTGCACCAATTTGGTGGGTAACTGACTATCTCTAATTTGCATAAGTGGATAGGAAGGTGCACTGTTTCCCTATTTGGGCCACTTAAAGGATGATTTTGATTGGACCGTTATAAAAATAATTCCTGCATTTGATATAACACCTTATCAATTCGTTGAGACATCTCAAAACGCTTAATAGAATATACTGTAAAGTGAATTGACTGTATATTTTGTGGGCAGCAGTGTCCTACAAACAGTCGTGGCTTACGTGACCAAATTATTATTTTTGAAAGGATTATTACTCCTGGAGAACGATCCGCCAATTGACTAACAACTGGGTGCCTACTTTCTGCTCGGTAAACCGAGGTGTGTGGAGTAAGGGAACTTGCCTAAGGTTTCACCTTGCTAGAAAATTGAACTCTAATTTCCTTGCTTCTGAGGCGAGTGCTCCAACCATTACTCTACAGGACCCACCGTAATAATATTTTAATAATCCCTAACACTAAATAAAAGTGTCCTGACCAGCAATCCTTCAGCTAAATTGGTCAATCAGTTTATGGCTGTTTGTGGGACTTGGTTTCTATGCAAAATGTTGATCTACAAAAACAGTCACTACAATTGACAGAATTACTGTCGAACACTTTGAGATATTTCGATGTGATAAGCTGCTACAAAAATGCATTTAGTGTCGTGCCGTGCTTGACTGGTGTTGGGAATGAATGATTTCCTTGGTGTTTGTGTACAGTTTCTACTTGTTGATTGGAAAGCGAGCAAGTGGGGTATCTGGCAATGCAGCAGAGCGAAACCTTGGGCAAGTTTCCTTATTCCACACGCCTGATAATAACCCTCAAGAAAAAAGAAAATAATAAATTGGTCACTTCAATCCGCGACTGTTTGTGGGACACTGCTGTGCGCAATCGGCTGCTGCATTTCGCCCACAAATATACAGTCAATTCACTTTACAGTCTATTCTGTGAAGCGCTTTGAGACATCTAGAAGACGTGAAAAGCACTATACCAAATGCAAGGATTATTATTATAAGTGATCACTAGCCTTTTCCATTTTCTTTCTCTTCCCTACACCGCCCCTTTCCCAGGTTATGGTATAACGTGGCTTCAGGAAAGAGGGATAAGAGAAGTGAGAAACATAAAATTACTTCCCAACAGAAGAGTTGGCACTTTATTTGTATTCAGTAGTGAAAAATATTTGCAGAATGTGTGAAAGTGCTGAAATGTTTCATGTGGTTTACAATTATGGGTTATTTTTCAGACACAAAGAAAGCGTAGGATGATACCCTCTCAGCAGGCCAGACGAGGGCGCCGCCGACACCGATCACCAGATGCAACGGAACAAGAACCAGTAGAGGTTGTAGAAAGTGGTAAGTGCAGAGGTTTGTGTAGAGGCCTGTCACTTGCGCAGTGAAACTGGCTTCACCATAATAGTCAGGGCATTTTTTAAGCAATTATCACTGGTGGGGATTGAACTCAAAGGAGCACTTTTATCCCACATCCAGAAGCATTAAAAACGGATTGCTACAGATGAAGTAATACTTTATGTATTTGTTTCAAACCTTAAGATGATTACAATTATATGAAAGCAGGAATCTAATAAATAATGATCATATAATGTACCAAATAATATTCTGTAAAATTTGCCTAAAATTCTGTAAATCCTGCCTAAACGGTGACCACTTGTCGACTGCCGACAAAATCATAATTAGCTTTGCTGTTATTATTAAGGGGAATTTACTGTTGGGGAATTTTGAAATTACTGCTGGGGAATTCCTTGGGGCTGGTGGAGATTTTTCGCATCACTTTATATGATAAAAAATACCCTAATTGCAGGGTGGATTGGGGTTTTACGGATCCAAATCACTGCATCATAAACAGATTCCACTGTACCATTACTGTACTGTGAATAACAATTCTTTATAAAGTGTATTATTACAAAACATCTGTTTCACAGAATATTTTCTGTAAACCGTAATGTCTGTATTTGTAGGCAAATATGACCAACTAATTTGCCCACAGCAATATCTCACAAACCGCTTTGAGTGAATGACCAATTTTGTATCTGAGGGATGGATGGCCAGGAACCAGGAGAAATGCCCATCTCTTTTCAAATAATGCTATGAGGTCTATTGAGGTCTTCAATGTCTACCAGAACAGGGCTTGGTTTAACTTTGATTCTGAAGAACGGCGTCTCTGCCAGTGTAGCTCTTCCTCAGCATTGCATTGGAGAGTCAGCCTACACTGAGCTCAAAGTCCTGATGTGAAGCTTGAACCCACAAATCTTCCTACTCAGAAATGTGAACATGAGGTAACTATTACCTCAACTAAATTTTGATATGTGTGCGGTAGCTCTGTACTGGTTGTAATACTGGTTGGTCATTTACTTCATGGGTGTGTACAAATTGACTGCCGCGTCCGCCCACAAAACGCACAGTCACTCCACATTACAGTATATTCTGTGAAGCACTTTGGGACAATCCTGACATAAAGGTGCTGGAGACCAAATTCAAGGATTATTATCATTAGTTTTAGTACCAGGTCCCTAATTAAATTGTTACAAGCTCCAGCGTGTGCAAAGCAGAGGATTCAATGCATGCCAAGGTGGGGAAATGTATATTATAGAATCCTGTCATCCATGTCTATGGACAGAAAAGAAGTATAGATGGACAGAAAAATATCTCAGGAAATAGAAATACCTCTGAACCGAGTACAAAAGAGTTGTAGAGAACTACAAACGTTACTCTTCATTTTGAGGCATGCACCATCTCCAAAAGAAGCTTGGGCCTATTTTGTCTCCGCAGGTGCAGAAGTAGTTGATCTGACTTGTGAATCCTCTGAACCTGTGGTGGTTGACTTAACCAATAATGATTCTGTTGAGGTAAGCAAAGCTGAGCTTTATTCCTTTCACTTTTCTTTATATAAAGCCTGTGGCCCAGGGGCCAATTCCGGCCCCCGTGGCACCCCCGAATATTCGCACAAATTTAGGTAAGTCCATGTTCAATTGTTAATTTGTTTTCAGTTTTTTCTTGATTGAATATTTCTTGATTTATGGCATCAATCAACAAAGGTTCAATCAAAATTTATTTTGTTGGTCGACCATAAAAGGTTGGCCACCACTGGTGTAAAGTGACTGAAATGTATGTGGAATGAGCTTGAGGGTATTGCGGAGAGTTTTTTTTTGATCAGCGGGGTGTCATTGCAAAATTGATCACCATGCATGAGTATCCAAATACGTATGCCACCTAAACATGGAAATTTCCTCGTGTCTGGGATTGAATTTGCACTCTCTTCCTGAAGGGACGCACTCTGTTTACCAATTCTGAAGATTATTAGGTACATATTAAAATCTTAGTCCAGTTAGAATCCACTGTTTTTCTGTTTTGAAATTCCAAGACCCCTTATCTGTGTGAGTGAAAATAAGAAAGTCATGGTCTGGGAGAAAACCAATCTGTACTGAAACCAAAACAATCATTGCTGAAGCTGCTAGTGGCTTCAGCAATGACAATCAGTAAAATCTTCAAACCCAAGCATAACCCTGAGTCCTGTTGAATTATAATAATAATAATAATCCTTGCATTTGATATAGCGCTTTTCACTTCGGGAGGACGTCCCAAAGCGCTTCACAGAACACACTGTAAAGTGAATTGACTGTATATTTGTGGGCGAACGCGGCAGCCAATTGCACACAGCAATGTCTCACAAACAGTCGTAGATTGAAAATGACCAATTTATTATTGTTTTTGGTTTTGGAGGGATTATTATTAGGCTCTGTGTGGAGTAAGGAAACTTGCCCAAGGTTTCGCCCTGACCTGCCTGGAATTGAACTCAGGTTTCCTGCTTGCAAAGCGAGTGCTCTAACCACTGAGCTACAGGACTCCAATTATTTTCAATTGTAAGAAAAATGTAGTGTAAAATATAGTGTAGTGACTATACGTAGGCTAACAAGGCAGCCATTTTGCACACAACACTATCCTACAAACAGCTATGAAATGAATAGGACGTTGGAAAAAACTCCCTTTTTGAATCATCTCATAGGATCTTTAATTTCCACGTAAGCAGACAGACAAGGCCTTGTTTTAACATCTGAGCTCTAACAATGCAAAGCTTCCGAGCACTATATTGGAGTGTCATCTTTTACTATGAGTTCAAAGTCCTGGTGTGGGCTTCTGAGGTGAGAGTGCTATCAAATGAGCCACCTGATAAGTGGTTTGATTGCATTTTTTTTAGTTTGGTGAAAATTGTCATTATCTCATGTAACATCAATAACCCCATTAAGTCTTCAGCTAGTGTATTCATTGAAAGGAAATGTATAACAGTTTATTATGAATGCAAGTAATTGGTAAATAAGCCATCTGCTATTTTGCTTCTGCATTTGTAATCTGCTGATGTGCAGTACTCCCTAGGGAGTGAACTGCCAAGGGTGGAAAACTGGTAAATTTCAAGATCCTTTCAATCGTCTACAAATCCCTTCACTGCCTGTCACATCCCTACCTTTCCAACCTGCTTTCTCCCCACTCCACTACTCACTGCCTCCACTGGACTGACTCTGGCCTCCTGCTTGCCCTTCGTCCCCTCCACAACATGATCGGCAGCTGTGCTTTCAGCCACTACACCCCGAAGCTTTGGAACTCTCTTCCCCCAATCTGTCTGCCTTGCCCCCTCCTTCCCCTTTTTTAGATCATAACTGAAGGCCTTCTACTTTACACCTTGTTTGCAGTCACCTCCTCCCTCCCCCAGACTCAGTGTCAGGCTCTGCCACTGTTGAGCACTCTGAGATGCTGCCCTGCGTGAAGGACGCTGTATAAATGCAAGTTGTTTTTGTAGTTGGATTGCAGACATAAGCTTGGCAGCAACTTTCTTAAATTTGCTCTTGTTGAGTTTGATTGTATCTAATTCTACTTTTTTTTATTTTCATTTTGATGCCGCACTTTTTCCAGATCGTGGATGAAGGTGAGTTCACAAAATAAGTTTCTCACAGCTTCAGTTATTCACTAAATCTATGTTGCCTTAGGTAGGATTTAAGAGGATTGATTGTGAAAGAACCATTTATTTTAGTTTTTAGTTTATATACCGAGTATAAACGCTTTGTATTTGGGATGCAAAGCTATTCAGTATTTCTCTATCTCATATTTTGAGTCTCCCTTCCTTGCTCCTTCAAGGACCATTTCAAGACCCTCCTCCTCAACCACATTCTTATCCCTACTCTCCCTGCCCTCCACCCCTCCTGATCCCAACCCTCAGCTCAGGTCCAAATCCCAAACTCTCTAGCACCTTGAGACATCCTCCCGACATGAAAGGTGCTATACAAATGTAATTTGTTGTTTCTGTGAGTTCCACATTAGTCAGATTTCTATTTGGAGTTTATAGTTCTATTTGTTCAGCCATAAGCAATCTGTTTTGATCTATCCGGAAATTCTGAGCGCTTTATCAAACCTGCAAACTGCTGCAAACTAATTCAAGGACATTTGTGACATTTACTTTGTATCCCTACCTGCCCCACTCAAAAAGCATTTAAAGGAGTTTGAAAATAAATGCTTTTTGTATTCATACTCGGAAAATTAAAGCCCTTCTCTTTTCCCTGTCCTCCAAGGTACTTTTTGTATTCTGTGAAAATTGACATTAATGGACAACTGCTAAGATAAATTAGATTTCCAGCATCAGCAAATGTGGTGCCACTTCTGTTCATACTTTTTTGATTTTTGCAGAGCAGCAGTTTCATTAACAAACACAGTTTGATTGAGCTTGCTGTATGATTGAATCTGTTTCAAAAGCATATTGGAAAAATCTTTTGAACCAAAGTAACCTAGTTTGACCTAATTTATATAGTAGTTTCATTGAATAAAGTTGATGTCACAATTAATTTGAAGCATTTATTCAAAAATGCTGCTAAGATCACGTGGGTGGAGAGAGACTGTTGAAGTATGCATTTTGTACAAACCGTTTCAATCCAATATTCACCCACAAAACAGACAATTTACTTTAAAGTGAGTGTATTTTGTACGTGAATGCAGTAGCCAATGTGCTCACAGCAGTGTCCCACAAACAGCCATGCAGTAAATGAACAATTTTTTGGGGGATTGTAGGTTATATTAAAGACCATAAGATGCTGAAGTAGTGTCAAAATTGGTTCACGGGCATATTGCAAGAAAATTCCTAGAATAATGGGTTCTACACGATCTGTATGGCTTTCTTGCTGAGAAAAGAAAGTATTTTCGTTTGTAGCAAGAATTGAGTGCTATTCTGCTCCTTACTCACCTTAGACAAAGAATCAAATTTGTTTCAGTTTTAAATGTATTGTACATACGTCTGATCTATATAAATCTGTATTGGTGTCACCTATCTACTTGATTACATCTCTCATTTTCTCTGCTCCTCATTTCAACCCTGGTGGTGTCCTGCACTCTGGATTTAGCTCTTAACCATGGTTCTCGATATACAAAGCAAACTGTTCCAGATGATCCATCACCATGATAGATCTTGTATCTTAAAATATAAGATTCTTCCAGTTAAATGTAATATGTGTATATAAACATTTTACACTGCATTTTGGGAGCGGGTAATCTGTTTTTAAAAAAAAAGGTGGTAATTATTGTTAATCCAGCCATTGTTGGCAGTGTTGAGGGAAGACAATTCCGAGTTAAGTGAATGTTGTAAGTAATTATAGAATATCTTTTTGTTTTGACTTTGCAGGTCTCTCTTCAAATCGTCAGACAGAGTCTTTGGAAGAACAGCCAGGAAGAACGCTATCAGACAGTTGTATTCTCTGCAGTGACGATGAAGATGTAGAACCAGATGGAAGCACCTGTCTGTATGTAACCGGTACAACAAATGTACCTCAGGGAAATCAAATTCGTTCTTACCCATGTAACAAAGACTTAAGGTAGTGTCAGAATCATTTCTGATCAAATTCTTGATTCCATAACTGAGAGGCATTTAGTTGGATTTTTTTCGTTTTCCTTGAGGTCCTTTTGTAGGGTTCATTAACTCCATCTGTACATGGGCAAGTAGGCATCCTGGCAGCAGGTGAACCAGAGCTCCTTCCTCCTGACCCACAGGGGAATGCTGAGTTGTGGCTAATCTGACAGTTCAGGCAAATTCATTACCACAAGTGGTTCTTAAGGCTGAATCAATGGAATTGTTCAAATGGGAACCCGATAAACACTTGACCAGTAAAAACATTGAAGCATTTGGGCTATGAGCGGGAAAGGGGATTGATTGATAAACACTGATTTAGAAGAGGGAAGCAATGGTACAGACACAAAGGTCTGAATGGCCCTGAAAATTAGCGAACATTTCTGTTAACATAGCTGAGGGATGAAGGGAAAGGGAATAGGTAGGAAAACATTTGTAACTTTTTTTTGTGTATGGTAAATGCAATCAGAATAAATCTGAATTCCTGTTTTGACAGATCTGGTCAAAATGTCGTTTACCAGAGATCTTCCCCAGGAACTATTAGTTGCCCCATCTGTTTGGATAATTACACTGAGGTAAGAAGAACCCATGCTAATATTTTCAAATGTATGCCATCATTATATCAATGGCAAGCCTCGAGTTTCAGCTAGTTAGACTCCAGTAGACCCCAACACGTACTCTCGGGTCCCCAACCCTTGGCTCTTGCAACTCGATGCTAGAGTACAAGCTATATATTTCAACCCGGGCTTCATATTTGAGTTGATCACTGAAAATAAATGTCCCTGTATCTATACTCTTACTCTTTTTTTTAAAAAAAAGCAATTGCAAAAATATTTTCCTTTAATTACGAAAGAGTGCAAGTAACTTTAAATAAATTGATTTGGTACTCTGAAACCCCCCCCCACCACCACCATTATATAATATATATTTATAGATATTTGTATTATATATGGGCTCGATGTAAATGCAAGCTGTTGTTAGTTGTTTCTTGAATGATCGCATGAGAGCTGAACTGTTCTCAGTAAATATACATTCCAGATACTTCACAATGAGGTAAATCAGTTCCTTTGTACTGTTCAGAAACCTTGACAGTCCACTTTGCTCAAATATTCTATCATTCTCTGCTCAAGTGATTTTTTTTAAGAAAAGCGCAGCAAATACATAGCAATTATGTAAATGGTTACTTGTGAAAACTTGCAAGTTGTATGTAATTCCTCATGTACATGAAATGAGCAAAGATTGACAAATTTTAAAGAGTGCTACATTCATAACTTATTGTTTTTATAAAGTGCAAACAATTGTCATTTTTGTTTCCTTTTCAGATCGTTCAAAGTGGGAGGCTTATTGTTTCTACAAAATGTGGTCACGTGTTCTGCAGCCAATGCATCCGTGACTCTCTCAAAAATGCACAGACGTGTCCGACCTGCAGAGTGAAATTGAACTCAAGGCAGTGCCACCCGCTTTATATTTGACTACAAGCTTCTTCCAGACTTTTGTTTTTGATGAAACGTCAAATACTTTGGAATCCATTAGTTTCTTCAGCTTTACAATGACTGGACATCCTATTGGAGACTGCTGTTGGCGTTTGCAGGGTGCCCACATCATGAGCTGCCATCTGTCAATAACTGGCCCAAGCCGATCGAATTGTCTTGTCCTAGCTGGAAGGGGAGGGAAAGCAAAACCAAGCACCAGCATATTCTAAACATTTAATTTTATTGTGTGTTTGTGTGAATCTTTTTAATTTTACTCCCCTCTGTGACAGGATTCACACCTTTGTGTTTAAATGCCTTGTCCTGGGATGTGCTCACATCTGACCATGCACTTTAAAAGTGTTCTTCCATTTGTTGAGCATTGGCGACATATAACCTGCTTTAGAAATTTCTAAGGCAAACCTGTTGACAAGATCTACTGCAAACCATTAGCTCATTTAATGCTGAAGGCCATCATTTGATGCAATTCCTATTTCAGTCCCTAGTAGATGCCAGATGGTACATTTGTTGTGGCTCTGCGTGTAGAGTGGATGTAGGTTGTAGAAATCGGTTTGATGTGTAGTGAATTAACTACTATGACCAACAATAATAAAAGATTACTCAAGGAACATGGCAGAGCTCTTGACTACTCTTCTCCGACTCAGGAAATGTATATATGCCTTACACGTGAACAAGGTTGAGATGCAGAATTTTATGTTTTCCAAAGTCAGGAAGAGATATGCATGGTTTCAGGTTTTCCTCTTGTGACAGGAATGTCAATTTTTTTATAAATAATAAAAAATCATTTCGATTTAACTGACATCTAAAATATCACATCTTGACCAAAGTTCCTATACCTCATTTTCTCCGCAAGGTTTCTCGTTTTCTGTGAAATAACAGATATTTGACATTTTATTGTGAAATGCAACTGTGTTGAAATGGGAAAAATCACTTGTATACTTGTGTTTAAATCTAGAATTATCTTTTAAAGAAGGAAAAATAAAGTTCAATTTGTTTAAAGAATATTACGATAAAAGTATTGTGATTGACGACTCCCTCCCCTTTCCATTTTTGGTTCTTAGTCTTTATAGAGTGTGCTTTTATAATTTGTATTATTGTTAAATGTTACACTGCTCATGATATTCTGGATCTCTTAACCTTTGAGCCATTTGGAACGTTGAATATTACAAAGAGGGACACTGACTTGTGGCAAAAAAGTGAAAAATAAAAACATTTCAGTCTGGGACATACCTTCGGCTGTAAATCCTGCAGTTGTGTAATGCATTGTGTTTTTTTCATATAGATTCCTTCCAACCTCATCCTCATTTGTGACAACTGTACCTCAATTCACCAGCATGATGGCATTAACCCGGTTTGTCCGTCTTCTGATCCCCTATCCTTGTTTATTTCAAAATTGCTGGTGTTTTTTTTTCCATAGTGCAAAGTTCCACTACGGCAGTTCTGAAGAACTGATGATGTCTCGTTTTGTTCAAGCCACAGACTATGTACTGCTTGCCATTTTAGGTCTCTGCAGCCCTTTGGACATCATCGGGATCTATTATATGTAAATATGAGTACAGAGGAAAAATACAAGAGCCTTTAATTATGTCATTAATTAATGAAAAGAAGAGCAACAACATTACATTTGTATAGTGCCTTTCACATTGGGAGGAAGTCCCAAGGCGCTGGACAATCAGTGTCCAATTGGATGAGGGATGACTCTTGTGTAGACAGCACCACCCCTGGACTGAACAAAGTATAGTTCAGCCACACGTCTTTTACAATCGGCTTTCTAGTCAGGAGCAAAATCTGACCGCTTTCTCCCACCTGACAGTAATTTACTGGCTGGTTTGTTCTCATGTCCTTGAAGCAAGTATCTCACGTAGAGCACAAAGGCTACAATCTGATAAAACTGCAGAACTGTTTTTGAAAAACATCTTCAATCTTCAGCTGCAATAATCAAGATTCAGTGCAGTTCTCCCTTTTTTGAGCTGACACTACATGCCCATTTAACGTCTCTGAGGCACCACATACTGACACATATATACACTATATTCCAAGTTCTAAAGAAATCTAAATATTTCTATTATCTGTTTATAATCTTATGTATCCCACCAAGTATGACCATGAGTTTCACGGTTTTGTTTGATTTGGAGTTAACATGCATCACCTCCCAAGTCAACTTGACATTTTTCTGGCCAAAACATTTCTAATCAGCAATTAAACTTGGGCTTCTACCTACACACGTCAATATATATTCACAATTTCAGTTATGAAGCAGATCAGAACAATAGTGTTTTGAGACTTCTGCATGAGAAGCTATGTGCGTATTTTTAATCATAAGGTGATGAAGTTAACGAAGAAGAGGTTTGCTGAACACTTCCTTTGAATCACTAGGACAAGTGTCACCTTGTTACTTTGTCTAAGGACAACCCATCAAATTTATAGTCCAATAGTGGGAAAAGTCAGGGGCTCAAGAGCTGATACATTCAATTCAATTTTCAGAAGTCTAGTTTAGGGCTCCCTCTCATGGTGATGACAAATGTGTACACGGTCACAAAATGGCATTGATTTATAGAACCATCAAAATCTGATGCCTGGAGCCTTTTGACACAGTGTATCAGTGTTGATGTTTGCTTTTTTTTGGTCAGTCAGGTGTTTGACACATATGGAAACTTATTGCCATGCGTAAGCATATCCAAACCTAAAAGCATATTTCTCCTAAATCATAATTTGCTGCCTGTACACCAAACCCTCTAATCTGGTGAAATTGGTACTTGTTTGCATATAAAATTCTATTCTTTATTTGAATGATTTTGTGGGATGGGTGTGCAATGATGTTCTACAACTCAAGGAAGGACTTTCTAGCGCCATCAATAAGGGGGTTTAAATCGTGATATTCACAGAATATTACAGCATGGAAACTAGACATTCAAGTGAACTCAAAACGCAAAATACCGCGGATACTGGAAATCATTTCGGGTCCACAACCTTTCGTCAGAACTCAAACAAAGGGTCGTGGACCTGAAATGTTGACTCACTTTCCTTCCTCCGTAGATGCTGCCTGACCTGCTAAGTGTTCCCAGGGACACCTGTTTTTGTTCAAGTGAACTCTCCCATGCCAGGGTTTGTACTCCACAGAATCTCCTCTCTTTTAACCCTCCAGCCCACCTCACCCCCTCTCTTTACCCCTCCAACCCATCTAATCCCCTATGTTATTCCCTTCTCCTGTAAGTATGTATAAGAGTTTCCTCTTAAATACGTCAATGGTTTCTGCTTCAACCACAACTTCCGGCAATGAGTCCCACATCCTCACCACCCTGTGCGTTCAAGTTTATTTTTGGGTGGGAGGGTGGCCGGGAGAGGGATTGATATCTTCATCATTATTTTGTTTGAAACTTTGTTTCATTACTTTTCAAGATGACCTACATGTGATCCAATCTCTTGGTATTTGAGATCTTAGAATCAATTGCGATTTTTTTTGGTTTGCTGCTGTTTTGCTACATTCATCATTTCTTTTATTTATTTGACTTCATCCTTTACAGTCCGTGCTGTGTGTAATATAGTGTCTTATTTTTAGTAAGTTATCAATTAAACTATTTATAATTGGAATACGATCAGGCTCAGGTAGTGCGGTTATTGATATTTTTTACCTTCCCAAGCACGGAGATGGTGAAATGAGATGCTGGTATGTTTATTGTCCATTCTGGGCCAGGCTGAGCTGCTTCATTTTTACCTCCAGGAAATCAATGTGTGTCTCTCGAGAGGAATGATCTTGGTGCAGCTGAAAGTACGAGCACCTTTTGAAACTAAGAAGGCTCTGAAGGGCATTCACATTCACATAGATTCACAGATTTACACAGAATGTACAGCACAGAAATCGGCTATTCAGCCCAACAAGTCCGGGCTGCATTTATACTCTGCAAGAAATCTCCACCCACTGCTTACTCCCTCACATACCCTTACTCCACACAGCTCTGTTTGCCTTAGCTGTAAATAGGAACCCAGTAGTTAGTCGATCGGCGGATCGCTTTTCCGGGGTAATAATTTCTTCCCCCTCTCCATAATAATTTGGTCACTCAATCCATGACTGTTTGTTGGACACTGCTACTGCGTTTCATCCACAAAATATACAGTCAATTCACTTTACAGTATATTTTGTGAAGCGCTTTGAGAGGTCTCGAAGATGAGATAAGGCAATAGTGTCCAGTATCCAAGAATGGGCCCTTTGAGTTCCAAGTAACAAAATGGGGCTTGAACCCACAACCTTCTGACTCAGACTTATTATTAAAATATGGCTGGATTTCGTATGAATTGGTTTGAGTCAGAAAAGTGACTGTTAAACTAGTGATTCAATAAATTTGAACTGGTTCTCATTCAAGTGGAATCTTATTCAATCTAAGTTATTAAATCTACATCCTATCTCTGTGCCACTGATCTAATGTTTGTATGGAGCCTTTATCCTAGGTAATAATAATCCTTGCATTTGATAAAGTATCTTATGTCGTCAAGATGTCTCAAAGCAATTCACAAGATTTATTAATCTAGAGTTACAGGATTTTACTGTGAAGTGTAGTGACTATGTATTTATAGGCAATCACTGCAGCCCATTTGTGCTCAGCAATGTCCCACACACAGAAGAACTTTCTCTTCGACCGTGCCTATGGTCACTTCCCCCCAGCTCGGCATCATGCTCCTGCTTCACCACTGTCAGGTACTCTGGGACACTGTGGACGCTCTGGGGCCTGCGTGAGGAGCGCAGTGTCAGGCGCTCTGGAACCTGCGTGAGGGGCACTATAGAAATGCAAGTTGTTGTTGTTGCTGCGGTGAAACACTAGGAACACATGGAATTGATTCCATCCATTGATTGCTTTTCCCTGGTGACATAATTGCCAGAGATTCAAGAGGACATTTGGATAGTTAGAGGAGGCTGTATTAGTTGTGCCTTTCTTAATATTTAATATTATCAAAGCTGTGAACACTGGATATAGTTATCTTGCAGTTTGAATTGAAGTGAGCCACAAGCACAATTCACTTTCATGACAAATAGACCACCGACAAACAGTAAATGGAGAAAGCATTATAAAAAGGTTGCACGATATAATATGTAGGATAGTTTTCTGTTAGTTATACACTTTTCACTAATTACATAGCATAATACCAGTATTGAAAACCATAATTTTCTCAATGCAGGTAATTTATGTTTTCAGCTACAGTTTTTGTATAAAAGTGATGTTTTGACAATATCTATTTTGTCTTCAATGAATCTGTTCAAAGCCATGTTCACCACGTAGTAAAATGAGAGCTTTTCATCTCAAAAAACTGAACTGCCATTTTTGAGAAATAAGATTATTTACCTGCAAATTTTGGTTAGGTGATAGTTTCTAAATCAAACACTAAAATAATAATAATCTTTGCATTTGATATTGCCTCTTATCATGTTGTCAAATTGTCACAAAGTGCTTGACATGATGTGTACTGTGCAGTACAATGACTGTGTATTTGTAGGCAAACACACCTGGGGGATTGAATTGTTGGCCATGACACTGGAAGAAACTCTTTTTTTTCAAATAGTGCCATGAGATTCTAATAATAAATAATAAACCTTGCATTTTCATGTCGGAAAGACGTCTCAAAGCTCTTCACAGGATTTACTGTGAAATAGACCGACTGTATTTGCAAGCAATTGTGGCAAAGGCCTAATGGTGGGCTTGAACCCCAAACTTTCTGGCTCAGTGCCAAGAATACTACAAACTGCCAGGTTGATACCTTCAACTTCTATTCAAACAGAAGCTACTTCTGTCTCATACAGTCTCACCATTACCAGGAACCACTACAGCCAATATCAGAATATTTGGCAGGAACCTAGGGGAGACCAAGATCTCAATCCCAGCCTCTATGTACATAGTAATATATGTAAGTTTCAAGCAAGAGAAGTTTATTAGTCCATCATTGCTGGTCATAGGAATGTCTCTGACCATCTAGTCTATCCATCCAATTTGGGAAAAGAAAAGTTTAATTTGCATTAGACCATGACATTGCACTCTCAAAACAATTTCCCAAAAGATTGCTTTAACAGTCTTTTTTGTTCTGTGAAAACCCTGAATTATTCTAATTTACAGGAACGTGTATTGTTTATGAAACTCTTTATTCTTTAGTTCAATTTGGACCCAAATTTCCAATAGATGCTCAGTTGCTGACTGTAGGATTACAGGAAGGAGGGAAATTGCAAAAAAGCTTAATTGGACAACCACCAATAATAACTTGCGTT